GACATCCTCGCTCTTCCGTTTTGTTTTCCTAGGTATGATGACGTACTCAAGCCAATCAACGACGCTATCCGCAAGGCACGAGAGAGCGGCATCATCATTTTTGCAGCCTCAGGTAACGAGTATGGGGACACAGGCCTCTCCTGGCCTGCCTCCCTGCATGAGACGGGCGACGTGATTCGGATCAGTTCATCGGATGGCAGGAGCCCACCCTCTGGCTTTAATCTTAGTCCTGAGATTGGTCGCTGGATCTGCACCCTGGGCCAAGGTGTCCCATCGTGTCAGGTAGGTGTAGATACTGATGAAGTGATTTACCGAAGCGGGAGTTCGTTTGCGACTGCAATAGCCGCTGCTATAGCCGCCATCATACTCGGCGTTGTGGACTCCATCGACGCTTCCCAGCAACCTGACGACTTGGTACACCTCAGGCCTCGGCTACGGACGCGGTTGGGTATGGAAAGGGTATTGTGTGAGACATGCGTGCAGATTGGTCTCGGGGAGTCATGTGTTTCCCTCGCGCCCTGGTGCTTCTTTGGGCCTGGAAAGCAGACACAGATTCATATAATAGTGAATATCCTTTCGCATGTCTCTGGTTAAGAGAGGCCATGGGTTTGCCTTTCACATATGAAATGATTTCTGTATCAAGTCATTTTTAATGCGACAAGTCATGTTTAATGCGACACAGCACAGCCTTGATGGGGAATCTTTGGCTCTTAGGAGCCTCCAAATGTTTTGTAACGTCGGAATTATAATTGATGAAGGCAGGTATCTCTAATTTACATCTGGCGCCACTGTTGACTCATTTGTGTACATGAGACGACAGATACATGGAGTTGGACAGCCGAACCTAAGGGAGCCTTTGCACATATATATATTGCCGATCGAGGCATTTCCCTTTGTAACAAACATTGAATGACCCTTCCAACGCTCTAGTCCCGATGACTGCGCAGTGCATCACAGTACGGGATATTTGTTTATGCCTGAAGAACCCTAGCCCAAGCCTAGCCGCTGGAACACTGTTTGGCTATGCAGAGCAACAGCATGTGAAGGACATGCCGAAACATGCGGCACTCATACTTACGAATAGGTATATAACTCAAAATTCTGGATATTTTATTCAAAAGAAACACCGACTATTCTTATTTGTGCGCGCGATATGGTGGCCCGCTTTCTTGTTGATGGGAGGATGCAGGTACATGTATAACGTGAGTATGGAGCTTGGTCAACTTGGTGATTTATTCTGGTGTAACACAAGGAGGAGCAAATGCTCAAAAGGAACAGACGGGCTTGATATCAGACGGTACATGTAGATAGGTGTGCCACGTGATTGCTCTTATTGAACACGTACTTTGTAAGACGCAACATCATCATATGGCAGACTGCATCCTACAGATGCTCAAATCCCCCGGCGGTTCAACGGACTGTCCACGCCCTCTCTTCTTGGCCCACATTCATACCGATGGTTTTAGACTCTCGCAGAGAGTCAAGCCGGTTCATGCCACAATGCTCATACAGCCAATTATGCCGACGCCTGAGGAGGGTTCTATCGCAGACACGGCTGCAAGAGCACGCCAGCTCCTTCTATGCTGCTGAGGAATCGCAGCTGAAGAGCCCCAGAAATTGGCAGCAACACAGCTGGCCCGTTTGAACTTGTGGGCCTCTAACATCGGAGTCTTTGCTTCTCAGCACGCATCTCTTGATTATCGGCTCCGCACAGATCCGCCCGTCAAAGCGGTGGTTCGAGGGAATCTCGACACAGTCTGCAAACACCTTTTGATAAGTATGCTAGCCCAGTATCTTACCGGAACGTGCATTAATACGTATTTATTCAGTTTTGAAAGGCTCTTCAGAACTGTCCAAGGAAGAGTTTGACACATTTTTTGACACTCCACAATCACAAGTCTCAGCTTTTGCAACGAGTCTGTTGCGGAAACGTACACCGAATAACGATGCGAGAAAAGCGGCGTTTACACTCGTCGAGAGCAAGATTACTGTGCTACATCAGCTCTCTCTTGCCATTCGGCGAGCGAGCAACAGAGATAACCTAACAAAAGTTCCCAAACTCTTCAGTTTTGACGCAGAGTATGTCATACGACAGGGGCAAAAAGTAGACGGCTCCAACTCTGAAACTGTTATTGGGAGCATTTGTTTTGACGTTGGAGCTGGACTTGAGGAATTTATCCGCAAAGTCTTGACGCATAGATGGCTTCAATATCGCTCCAGCGGTGTTGAAGACCTTGGCAAAAAACGAAATAATTATCGACAAGCCCTTCTTGAACGCTGCGTATCGGCTGTATCAACTCGCAGGCGGCAATTGGAATATTTCCGAGCCCATCAAACCCGTCTCGGAAAGAATGACAAAAGGGAATGTTCGCTCAGGTCTTCAGGTCAAAAGGCAACGCTGCAATATTATTCCCAAACCACTGTACATCTCAAGGATAAAGACTTCCGCACTAGGCTGCTCATCGACCATGAGTCGAATCGTTCATCTAACATACCATATGCAGCTTCCAACCATACCCAGGATGAGACGGTTGCTTCAAGGTTTGCCAAGGCGAAATTCAAGCCACCATTGAAGTCCTTGGCAACCTGTTCGTCTGTTCCAACAACTGCCGCTGCTGGCTTCGGAGGTGACGGCCCGTTTGATGTACCGCAGCCGCCTAGGTTAGGCAGAAATGAAAGAGAGAAAGCATGCCCTTACTGCTGTCTTGTTTTGCCGGCCAAGACGTTCTCGACGCATCAGAAGGAAAAGCAATGGGAGCAACATCTCGTTGAAGACTTGCAGCCATACGTTTGTCTGTTTACAAACTGCACTGCTCCAGGGAAGACATACTCTTCTTTCGGGGCCTGGAAGTCACATCTCAGCCAACCCCACTACCAAAGTTGGCAGTGCGCCTTGCACCCAAAAGACGACTACAGCAATGCCGCAAATAAAGAGTCTTTTACATTCAACACCTTGGCTGAATTCAAGAGCCATCTCAAGATTTATCATCCGGACTGTGACCCAATGTCAGCCAATGACCTGAGTCAGCATGTACGCCGGCGGGCAGTCCTACCGCAATGGTGTTTTGTTTGCTTTGAAACATTGCCTGAACCTGCCGCCTTGCTGCAGCACATGGCCAGCCATTTCAAATCCATGTCGCTGCTAGCACTGCCTTGGCGTGAAGACATTGGAGACAACGAGGCCATTGCTAGTGACAAAGTTGCCGATTCGAGCGCTGCCGACGAACGCCATGTTGCGCTACATACGGAGCTTGCCGGTCTTGGCTTCGGGGGGGAGGGAGCAACTGGTAACAGAGCGAGGGAGTCGATGCGAGCACCCCATAGACAAAGGTCATTATTTGCCGCTTCGCTTTCCATCGTTAACCAAAGCTCTGCCCCTCCCGAGGACCGTTTGCACCATTTGGATACATGGATTACGGAGTTGAGGCCAAGCTCGGAGATGATGGGACCGGAGGAAGCGCCAACTAGACCTGCAAGTCCACAAATCGAGTCAAATATTGACCAGCCAAGCGCTATAGGTCATCTTGTTTTCGGCTTTGAGGATCTTGAGACTCTTGAAGCATCTCTTGGCTCGGGTCAATGTCAATCCAAGTCGTTTACAGGAAAAGAAGGTGGCAGTTCTGCAAACGATAGGGTGGTGTCTGAGTTTAGTGTGAATGTAGACGGTCTTCTTTGGGTAAATGGATACGAAAGCTGTAAGCAGGACGACTTGGGAGGCCAGCCAGGCCGACAGATGACCCTGGTGGTTCTTAAATTTACGCTCTCCTCCCGCGGCTTACACGAAAGATTCGACTCCATGCGGATTTCCTTACAATTCGAAGCATTTGATTCCGAGCACTGGAAACAGCCAACCGTTGAGGCCTGGGCACCATTTGGTCCTATGGACAGAATGGGTAGGCCGGAAACTCGTCAAAAGCAAACCAACGAAATCAATGAAGATGCTGCATTAATCCATTCTACAGCCGGCTTATCCATGGCTGCAAGAACTGAGGGCGAATTAGTCAGGCCAGGCTTTGACCAGGTGCATTCAACGGTAGAGGTGCACCATCAAACTGGCCGCCCATACGGTGTTACATGGGTTCTAGAGGAAAATAATATTCGAGAGGCGGATACATCTCTGGAATTCAATACAGCGGTGCTTGTCTCACGAAGCTCATCAGACCCCTATAATGCCAAGTTCGACCTCAACGCGTTCGTCGGCCCTTCCAGAGAGCAATTCAACGAGGTGAGGCAGTTTACAATTCAGCAGGGACAGCCTTGGGTGAGTTCTGAAGGTGAGGAGATGATGAAGAACATTGATTTAAGGAACTTGGGGAATCTACGGAATAGAGAAATAACTATAATGTTGGATATTCCGCTGGGTTCGGGCTATGTAGAGTGCCATCACCCAAGGGATTGAGATGGCATATATAGCTTGTGCGCCTCGAATGAAGCTGATTTATCCATGGCTGAAGATGCTAGTGTTTCCCAGGTGTCTCTTGAGTTTTTCCACCGGACCGGTGAGGACTTTTTCGGTTTGGGATTTGAAAGTAGTCATTGCGGATTAGACACCCCTGGAGTCGCCCTTTCAAGGTTTGCTAGAATCAATATAATCGCGATGCACCGCTAGTCTCGCAAAAGCTTCACCGCTTGACATTTTGGATTGCTCTGATACTATTGTTAAAATCACACGGGGCTCTGGCTGCTCAAGCATGCTCTTTAGCGCGACACGGCTCTCTCGTACAGGGGGTCTCAAAATTTGCAAATTAGAAGACAAGGTGTATTGTGTATTTTCACGATGTGTGCACGTATGTAGAACAGACGCTGGCTGGGTCTCGAGCTACCCGGGAAAGCATGTAGGTCCGTACGTAAGATGCTCCCATCACGGGTACAATTGCCGTCGGTACAACCAGCTACTACTAGCAGGAAACGACTTTAGGACCCCCACAATATGAGGCTCGTCTCTGGATCAATGGTGACAACTCCATGACCACAAGAGCCTGCACTTGAACACGAACAAGGCCTCTGCTTAACAATGACTGCCAGACACCTCCTCCAAGCTTTCATAGTAATAGCCTGCTCTCTTCCCCTCTGCCAATGTGCCCCGGCAAGTGGCCGCGTTCAACTCCCTTCTTTGCTCGACGCGACGCTTGATGAGCTGCAGTCGGGCCTCAATGCCGGGCATTTCACCAGCGTGGACTTGATCCGGGCCTACACCGCCCGAATCGGCCAAGTCAACTCGCGACTACACGCCGTCAACGAGATCAACCCGGATGCTGTTTCCATCGCCGCACATCACGACTCGCTGAGAAGTTCTGGAAACCTCATCGGCCCGCTCCATGGCATCCCAGTCGTGGTTAAGGACAACATTGGCACGGCCGACAAGATGAACAACACGGCTGGGTCGTTCGCGCTTCTCGGCGCCGAGATCCCAGAGGACAGCACCGTTGCCCGCAAGCTCCGCGAGGCTGGCGCCATTGTGCTCGGCAAGGCCAATCTCTCGCAGTGGTCCGGTGCTCGTGGCGAGATCACGCAGGGCTGGTCGGCGTATGGCGGGCAGTGTATCGGCGCCTATTATCGCGACATGGACCCCGACGGCTCTTCGTCTGGCAGCGGCGTCGCGGCCTCGACTGGCCTGGCCTGGGCGGCACTGGGGACTGACACCTCTGGTTCGATTGCAGATCCGTCGAGCAAGCATAACTTGGTCGGAATCAAACCCACCACGGGGCTGACGTCGCGGTATCTCGTCGTTCCCATCTCGGAGCACCAGGACAGCGTTGGGCCAATGGCGCGAACCGTCAAGGATGCCGCTTATTTGCTGGCGGCCATTGCCGGACCCGACGAGCACGACAATTACACGTCTGCGTCGCCGTTTGGAGATCGAGTGCCGGACTATGTGGCCGCTTGCAAGGGCAACGGCCTGCGTGGGAGGCGGATTGGCGTCCCTCGGCACATGTTGCAACTGTGGTCGGACAAACCCAGTGATTATATGCTTGAGATATTCGATTCTGCGCTGGACGTCTTGCGGGCTCAGGGCGCTGAAATTGCAGACGACATCGTCCTGCCTGGCGCGGTGGACTTGCTGAACAGCAAATATAGCCCCTTTGTCACGGGCCCAGACCTGATGGTCGACATACCTCGGTACTTTTCGCAGCTCAAAACGAACCCCAACAACATCACTACCATGATTCAGCTACGCGAATTCATCCAAAACGATGCTCGCGAAGGGTACCCCGAGAAAAACACCGCGTCTTGGGACAGGGGCATCCGCAGAGGCTACGATAATACCTCGCCAGCGTGGTGGGCAAACTACAAGGCCCAGGCAGAGCTCGCCGGCCCTCGGGGAATTGCCGGCGCGGTGGACAAGTACTCGCTCGATGCTATCGTCCTGCCCACGGAATATCTGAGCAAGCTTGCGGCTCCTCTAGGCAACCCGGTCATTTCAGTCCCTGTAGGACGGACGCCCGACGACACGCCTCTGGAGAAGAACAAGTTTGGGACTTTGAACATCAAGGGCCCGAACCAGCCGTTTGGGCTGGGATTCACGGGCGCGCGGTTTAGTGAGGAGATACTCGTTGAGATTGCGTATGCTTTTGAGCAGGCGACAATGGTGCGCAAGACGATTGTTCCTTATATCCAGCCCAAGACGGAGCTGGAGGACATTGTGGGAAAGAGAGAGGATACGAATGGGGAGTTGGAGTTGTAGATGAGTGGCGACTACTCTAGACAAGCCATGACTTGTATTGATCAAGTATGCCAGGTTTGCTTGAAAGAATAACCATGTTGGCATATGAGTGCTTGGTTATTAGACCATCTTGAATCCTAGTTATCCTATATAGACTGAGCGTTGCGGCGGGAGTGGAGTCATTAGCAGATTAGCGCTCCGTCTGCCTTCCAGGTTGCTTCGACCTCAGCTCATGGAAATGTCCCACTGTTGCCTTCAAGGCTACAGGTACCTGCATATGTGTACTGGGACTAACTAACACAATTGAATAGATGCATCGTTTCCGTGGGGCATTATCAAGGATGCATTACTTCGTATCCAACTGCCTAGGTAAATGTGGGTAGGTAGGTAGGTGCCTACTGTCTATACTGTTTGCTTTGCCAGCACTACTTGGACCATTCACCTATATATAGTCTGGAGGCTTTTCTGGCTCGGGCCGTCCCGCTTCTGGTTGGCAAGGTAAAGCCAACTACATACAAGTAAGTATACATGTAGTTGCATGTGACCACCATTGCAGGCCAGGGGGTCTCATGTAAATGAATGAGTACATATACACAGTCCTTGGATGTGAGCCATTGTGGCCAGGCTGGCCATTCATTCGTCCGTATCAATCACCGAAACTGAAGATGCAGGACGCTAATCCTCGAATGTCCAATAAACACCCCCTTCAAAAGCCTCCCGCTGACATAACGTCGTACGCGAGCCTCGTCTATGAAACCCCGCTCTCCCCAAGTGTGTTTTGCCTTTCCCCGCTCGTTTACTATTAAATAACGCTCCATTCGCCCGCTCGCCGCATGTTCGTCTTCCCCTTAAAGTTTGCTGTTTGTTTGACTAGCTATCGTGGATAGTGAACAAAGAGTATATGTTCACCAAGAATCAGCCGGATAGCAGAGATATGAGGGGCTAGAGATCTTGTTTCATATGACCATCTATAAAGACTATTGGCTGAGAGGTACTAGCATCCACGAATGGCTAGATGTATGGATGTGAAGCTGACTGTTGTCAACTAGTATCATTCCCGATATTTGCCTCGTCGGTTGTTGCCAGCCATCAACATGGGTACTCAGATGGACATTGACTATGATCTATCCGAAGTAGGTAATAATCCACCCGAGGCTGAGAAGAATCTCGAGACTGAGAACAGTCTTCTCAACGCCAAGAATGAACCCCTCGGACTCATCAAATCTGCGGAAGCAATTGTTGGCAAAATAATCCCTCAATACGAACATGGAATCAAAGATTTCGAGGAACTTCCACCTGAGTTCATCAAAGTAAACGATTGTCTACCTCAAACACAAAACGTTCTAAACCATGCCATCAATGAGCTCAAGTGGGACGAATCATCGAGTGAGTCCATTCAGCCCTTGGCTGTAGGACTTGAATTACAAGTGAAGAAATTACAAAATGTATTCACTCAGGTTGCAAAAGAGACAAAAAGTTCGAAAGATCAAACCGTCTTAGGATGTTACATCACCGTTCTGAGAGGTTTGGAGGACCCCAAGTCACACCAGGTGGAAGTTCTTATGCGTGGCATCCTCAAGGACCTTGATACACTGTTCAACGAAAAGCCACTGAAATCAGGCTACAGCAAACCTTCTGAGCTGAAGGTTATCACTGAGAAGATGTCCAAAGTGAAATCATCCGTACAAGAGTCAGATCTTACAAAAACTGGGCCAAGTAACGTTCAGAATAACTACGATAGGTCAACGGGCCATCAGTATAACGGCAATGCAACTAACATAAATTCTGGTTCTGGTACTTATACGATTAACAATAACAATGGTACGAATCCAACGAATTCATAGATTAAATATCCATATTCAATTATAAATAGACTGACTCTTTCTACATTGAAGTTTCGGTTTTTCGTGACAATGCCACTTGGAAAGGTATAAACTCACCTCACCACATCCCAACTCAAACGGATGAATGGAATATGTCCCCGGATGGTAATCTGGCAACAAGCGGCCAGGTTGTAGCCCATAATCAACTGCGACGTCGGCAAGATCAGGCACATCTCTCGAACTCTCAAGCTATAAGCGAAGGTAGCGCGATGAAAAGAGGTCGACCACATAGTCGAGAAGATTTCCAAATCGCAATCATCTGCGCGCTGCCACTCGAGTATGATGTGGTTTCTCTACTCTTTGACCAATTTTGGGATGAAGACGAGTCATACGGTCGCGCGCGCGGCGACACAAACACGTATACAACCGGCCGCATGGGACAATACGACGTTGTGCTTGTACTTCTTCCCAATATGGGGACCATTGCGGCGGCTGGAGCAGCAGCAAGCTTCAGGTCGAGCTATTCCAACCTACAACTGGCATTCCTAGTTGGCATTTGCGGCGGTGTGCCATGGAATAGAGAAGACGAAATCCACCTCGGTGATGTCGTAATCAGCAAATCCGCTGTTCAGTATGATCTGGGCAACCAATATCACAAGACGTTTGTGATTAAAGACACCATCGATGATAGCCTTGGTCGACCAAATAAGAACATTCGCAGCCTAGTCAAAAGCTTTGAGACCGAACGTATCAGAGACCAACTACGGCAAAAGGCGTTATTATACTTGAAAGACATCCAGAGTGCAGCCGCACGGAAGCGACGACGATTCAACTACCAGTATCCTGGGACTGCAAAGGACATGCTTTTTATAGCAACATATCGGCATAAGCATAGAGGCTCACAGCCTTGTAATTTCTGTGATGCCCAGCCCGATGGCTTTTGCCAAAAGGCAGCCCAGACATCTTGTGCCGAACTTGGATGTGACGAGGCACAGCTGGTGGTTAGATCGGATTTGGAGGCAAGAGGCTCACCTGAAGAGCCTGAAATTTTTATTGGGCGTATAGCTTCTGGAAACACGGTGATGAAGTCTGGTGAGCATCGAGACAGGATTGCTGACGAACAAGGCGTAATTGCTCTTGAGATGGAGGGGGCAGGTGTCTGGGATGAGATTCCTTGTATTATTGTCAAGGGCGTGTGTGATTACGCCGACAGTCACAGAAATGACTTGTGGCAACGGTATGCTGCTGCTACGGCTGCTTCGGTTATGAAGGCTATACTTGGGCGATACATCTTGTCAGATAGATGAGAATACTGCGTCAATGTATCTAGATATGCGAGGACCTAGATGATCTTTTTCTATCTTATGAAAGCTTGTAATTCTATAAGCTTAGAAAGATATTATGCGGCGGCCAATGGATGGGACGCATGAAATTGCGATTGCACAATTCAGCGCTTAAAGGGTTGGTAGAACCCAATCATTGACCTTGAATAGATGCCTATTAGACAAGATGCATGTATCACAGCCATACTGGTGAAAGCACCGCTAGAGAAAAACAAGAAGCTACACGTTCGGACTTCCCCATCCCGACAACCAATGCTGTTTGTTGGGTACCCATTAGGCTCGAAAATTCTAGGCTGGCCAGGCTGGCCAGGCTCGGCACGGTACAAACCTGGCGCCCAACCTCCCATAGAAACACATTACAGTCCCTTGTAGTATCATGTTCACTATTGGATGAGGTTGGCCCCCCATGTTGCACCAGGCGGCTTACTCCGCCCCACGGTATAAACGAATAAGCTGCCAGGTTTCGTATGGGAGCCTCAGCTGGCGCCTCCCCTCTTTCTCATGCCTCGTGCTTGTTTAGCCATATTCCCTTACTCGTGTGACGAGGTATCAATCATTTTTGCGACTCATCTATATCTTGATTTGCGAGCGCTTTTGTAGCAAGAACACCCCGTCTTGCAGAAACTCCCCATCGTTGATTTGGGCAAGCTACAGGGAATCCGACGCAGAATTCAGGGACTACGGCATCGCTTCCCCGCAGCACAAGCCTTGGCCCGCACGAAGATCAAAATGAAGAATGTCAATGGAGATAACAATGCTCAACACAATGCCCCAGGCGGAACAGGCCACCAGTATACTGGCCAGGGCCAACATATTTATAGCGGCCCTGATATGACAATTAATAATAACGCAGCCACGTATACACTTGGTACGAAGTGATCATACTCAGTTGGGAGCTTAACTAACCAAATTTGCCCACCAGATTCAGACAAGTCTCGGGAGGAAATCATGCAAGCTCTGTACACGTCACCATATCGACAGAGAAAAGATCGAAATCCCGACCGCGTTACAGGAACATGCGAATGGTTTTTGAACCATATAGACTACCATAACTGGCGAGACAGCACGTCTTCCTCGATGCTCTGGGTATCCGCAAATCCCGGATGTGGAAAGTCTGTTTTGGCTAAATGTCTGGTTGATGAGCTTAAGGCTACAAAAGAAAGAACCATCTGTTACTTTTTCTTCAAAGATGACTTTGAGGATCAGAGAAGCGCTAAAAGCGCCATTAGCTGCATTTTGCACCAACTCTTTATACAGAGAGAGAATCTTTTATCTGCTGAGATTATAAAGCGATTCAAGTCTTACAAGGCGCCTCTCGCCAACTCATACTACGATCTTTGGGAGCTCTGGGACATTTTAATCATGGCTTCACAAGAAAGAAATGCAGGCGAGATAATCTGCATCCTCGATGCATTCGACGAATGCGAGAATCAGGACCGACAAGGTCTTGCTAGGATTGTGCGCGAATTTTATATTCAAAACGGCACCATTAAGCAGAATGTTAATTTGAAATTTCTTATAACTAGTCGCCCTTACGATGAAATCCGGCGGGACCTAGTTCCTTTCAATCTTGAGGACGTCCCGGTTATCCATTTAAAGGGCGATGGGGATGTAGAGACAGAAAAGATTTCTGGAGAGATCAGTCTCTTCATAAGGGATAGAGTCTCGCGCGTTCGAAAAAACCTTGATCTTACAGAAAAAGAAGAGGCGCTCCTTTTGCAAGGGCTTGAAGCCATCCCGAACCAAACATACCTATGGGTCTATCTCACCTTAGACTGGATTGAAACTGAGATACACAACAACATCAGCGAAACGAAGATACGCGACGCCATTTCCACTCTCCCTCGAACTGTTGATGAGGTTTACGACAAGATTTTAGCCAAGAGCACAGATGTAGCAGAAACCAAGAAACTGCTACATATTGTGGTAGCGGCTGAACGACCTCTGACTCTCGAAGAGATGGACTTGGCACTAGCAGTTCAACAGCACCATGATTCCTTTAAAGACCTCAAGCAGAGACGCAGTGATCGTTTCACAAAGTATATCAGGGACCTTTGCGGCTTTTTCATAAACATCACAAATGGAAAGATTTATCTTCTTCATCAGACAGCGAAAGAGTTTCTAGTCCCAACAGGTAATTACGACTGCCAGGAAGAGATCACAACACAACGAGGACACGTGTCTCAAGTTGAACGCCACAAGCAGCTGACATGGAAGTCTTCACTTATACCATCGGAGTCCCATCGAATTATTTTTAAATCGTGTGTTTGGTATCTACTTTTCATCAAGCTCCAGGCTCGCCCTATTGAGGTCATTCCCGCATCCGACTACAAAAGTCCTTTGGGTCAATACAAAACAACACTTGGCAATCACCATGAATCTGTGTTTCTTGATTACTCTTCAAAAAGCTGGGCTACGCATTTTCGTGCGTCAGGTATCGAAGGAATTGAGTTCAGAGAGCAGCTGCAGCAAATTTGCAACGTAAAATCAAGACTTTGCTGGATTTGGTTCAGAGTTTACTGGGCGGGAAAACACCCTAGCGCTGCATTTCCTTCCAACTTCACGACACTTATGGTTGCCTCTTATCTGGGAATAGAAACCATTGTCAGACTTCAGCTCCAATCACCTTACGTTGAAGTAAATGTTGTTGACGACATTTTTGAGCGTTCAGCACTCTCTTGGGCGTCAGAGAATGGATTTGAGAACATTGTGAGGCTCTTAATCAAAGGTCCAACATTCAATCTTAGAAACATTCTGAAGAATGGTTTCCGCCCATCGTTCTTTAAAGCTACAGTCGATACCAAAGATATGACGATGAGAACACCGCTATCTTACGCGAGTATTAATGGCCATTTGTCTGTTGTCCGAATATTACTCAAAGCAGGAGCCCGCGCAGACTTAAAAGATCAAATTGGAGGATCGCCAATATCTTACGCTCTCTGCACCGGACGGCAGGATATAGCCAACGAAATGACAACACGAGCTCAGGAAGTTTCAATAAATGAGATTCGCGATGGATTACTTGTATCAGCTGTCGCGAATAGGCATCAGCTCATTGCTAAACGCCTTCTCGATAGCGGTGCCGATATAGAAGCAGTAAACAGGAATAAGGAAGCACTTCTCTTAACTGCCTCTCGGTATAGGGATACAGCTTTTGCTCAACTTTTAATAGAAAGGGGTGCTAATATAGAAGCGGTAAACGAACATAACGAAACACCTCTGTTTATTGCCACTCTACATGGGCATAGAGATATTGCTGAAGATTTAAAGGACATGGGAGCTGCTGTGGATTTACCAAAGGAAGATGTTAGATAGATTTACCCTCATGGGATTTTAGTCGATGAACTTGATATGCGTCGGTCGTTCAATTAGGCTGCTGAGTTTAGATGAAGTTAATTCACCGTGTTAAATTACGGCATATGTTAGAAATTGCTCTATGGTAATATTGTTCGGCGATTCACCCATATATAAATATGAGTAAAGAATATAAATATAATCCTCTCTTCACAGGTGATACTTGACACGCTTAACGGCGCTGACTAAAGCCACACGGGAATTTCTAGCATGACGCCTCTTAATATCGCCGCCGAGCACAATAATGAACCTGTCCTACAACCTTTATTGAAGAAAGGGCTGATATGGTGCCTTTCTCTTTCGCTATCAAGGCAGCCTTCAGCTATCAAGACAACTAATAATTTCATCACCTAGGTGTTGAGAAAGAAGAGCGTAGAAAAGCAAAAGCCACATGACAGCAAACTATGTTATATGACGAAGGAAGTGAAATGAAAAATTGTTGAATTCATTTTCAAAAGATGGAGCACTCAAATACTAAGTCTTAATATAAGTGTTACGGAGGCCATTACAGAGGCTATTTTTAAATAGAAGCCGTTGATATAAACGAATTAATTTCTTTGTAGTCACAAGCGAGCTAATACATCTGACACATGGCAGTCTGGGTCCAATGTTATCTTTTCTCTACACAGTACAACAATAATATCGGCAATAGTAATCCTTGATCAATGAAGTCGGTATACAATGCCCAAGGCACAAATTTGCCTCACGGTAAATTACTGCAGTAGCCAATTAGGTTACAACATTTAATTTAAATAACTAATCTTAGATATGCTATTGCCTCTAGAAATATTACTATTCCTAAAAGTAAAAAAGCAATAGTAAAATAGTTCAGTTATTAAATAGTAATCAAATTCTATCCTAAACAATCATCTCTAAACATACTTTCCAAACCATTCAACTAGCTCGGCAGGTTTCTTGGCAAAATAATTATAGCCATCAAATCTCCTAGTACTATCTTCAATCCAGGTCAACTGCTTTTCTTTGCTGCTTAGGGCGTCAAAGATCTCCTGAGTATCTTTCGTATCAATCAAAGCGTCTTTCCGAACCTGTGCAAAAAGGGTTGGCACAGTAACATTCTTCACCAATGGAATGGGGGATAGCTCTTTCAGGTAGAATCCGGTGATGTCGTGAATTCTCATATCAAAAGCCTTTACAGTCTCATCGACGTCAAGGCCCGCATTGATGGCGCCTTTCTCGACAAAGGCATGCCCCGAAACAGCTTGAAGAAGGACCATAGCCTTGATATCATTGAAGTGCTCTGGGAAATGGGACATGGCATGAATGGTAGCATTCCCTCCCATGCATCGGCTCAGTAGGCCAATGGTGTTGTCCTTGGTGTCCGAACGTGAGCGGGCGTAGATGAGAGAGCCAACAACGTCGCGTGCCTCGTAATATCCGAGCGCGCCGCACATGCCTCCCGATCCCTGATCGCTGATGCCGTGGTTTCGAAGATCGTAGCAGATAACGTTGTAGCCAGCATCATGCAGAGCCTTGTAGTCGGGTAAAAAGTTCACCTCAAAGCCGCCAAAGCCACCGAATTCCTCCAGATGGCCGGGGTATCCATAGCGATTGCATGTCATTGGATGATTTGCTATGATGAGCTTCTTCGAGTTGGGTGCAGGGATGAACCATCCTTGTAGGATTGTGCCATCGAGAGAAGGGAAGAAGATGTCTTCGTATTTCATCCCATACTCATCTGGTCGACGAAGAATAGGGCTGCGCTGGCCATTCTTGAAGAGCTGAGCGTAGGTCTCAACAAGTTGCGCCATGGCGTCAGGGGCTGAATCGCCCTTGGGTTGAGTGGATAAGTGAGACGTAGCCATCTTACTGATAATGTAATAAGAGTTGTGTGATTTTTTCGTGATAACGGCTGATGGCTGTAGCTTTTTATAGTGAGCAGTTGGGAGTGGCTATCAACTAATAGAGCATCAAGGGGAGCGGGTTATACGCAAGAGATATCAAGTCATGTCTTCTTGTAAAGGTAGATCTGTAATGATACAAAAAGCAGGTCAAATTGACTTCTGGGGTCGGTTGTAGTAGTGGGGCAAGCTCCGAGTGGCTCAGCCGATAGGCACTTCCATGATTTCGGCCGATACTCTATAGCTTACCAAGTAGGTCTGCGTTATGACATTTCGGCGTTAGGATTTCTTCGCAAACCCCGATATTCTATAGTGTAGGTAGCTCATTTGGTAGAAAATACGCTCTGCGTCATGGTATTTCGGTGTTAACGGTTCTAGAGGAATTCCAATACCCTCGCCCAGCTAGCTCATATAACACAGATGCGCCTTGTATGAATGTCCCTCGATGTCAAGGGTGTCCTATGGCCGGAATGTGGACTACCTATGTCCTCTGTATTTTCGCGAAATATTGCTCGCCTTAATCGCTGTTGTCATTGGGATAGAGGATACAATCGGAGATTCCGAAGTCTACCATCACACTAGAAAAGGCTGTACCGGCTACGCAATTCAAAGACCATGTTCTTCAAGGCACTGTATTGTGACTTCAAAAGGATATGTTGTACTCAAAGCTATAACTGATCTTACGGATATTCACAAGAAAATGTAGCCAAACAATTTTCCTTACATACTCTCATATTCTAGTGCTTAGCTAGATCCAAATAGTAAACTTGGATCTCATAAAATACCTTGACTTGCAGTGAACCCTTTGTTTATTTACATTTTGCCTGCTTAATCATCGGACAAATTCAACAACTCCAGAGACATCTTCCAGAGTTTAGTCTCACCCTCCGGGTTATACGCCCATGGCTTGTATCCAGGACCTTGAGGACCAGTCTTGCTTGCGTCGTGCGCGCCAGCAATCTGACAATCGTCTAAATACAATCCACCCTTTCCCTCCAACTCTTTGGCCAGAGCGGCCCATACGCTTGTCGCTGCGCCTTGCTCAGGGCTCTTCCAGTAAGTATCCAAATACTTATTTTGCTGCCACCCGTTCTTCACGTCGTCGTCAACGTGCCGCAGCAGATCCGTGGCGATAGCTCCAGGGTGAAGGCTGAAGGCATGAAGACCCTTTGAATGGTACCTTCTTTCAATTTCGTTTGCTGTCCAGATATTGGCAGTCTTGCTCTGGCCGTACGCTTTCCATGGATCGTACTCGTTTTCCAGGCTAAGGTTGTCAAAATGCACATCACTAACATAGTGAGCGCTAGATGCAACAATAACCACGCGTGAATTAAATTCGGGAGTAGAGGAAGCAAGAAGCATAGGGCGGAGTAGCTGAAACAACAGGAAGTGAGCCAAGTGATTGGTTCCAAACTGAGTTTCGAAGCCGTCAGCTGTACGACCTTCAGGGCAGGCCATGACGCCTGCATTTTCGATCAAAATATTAAGGCGCGCCGTCTTGGACTTGAACTCTTCAGCACATGCGCGAACGGACCCCAGAGAATCAAGGTCCAGGTGGAGAACGTGGACACGGGGGCTCTCAATAAGATCGCCCAGGGCAGCCTCAACCTTGGCTGTATCGCGAGCCGTAAGATAGAGAGTTGCTCCAGTAAGATACAGTGCTCGGGCAGTCTCGACTCCAATGCCCGAAGAGCACCCAGTGATTAGGATCACCTTGTTGCTCAGCTTGTCGACGAGTTGTTGGTCTTGTACGATTTGGGATGCGGTAGGTCGAGCATCTCCTGGTCCGCCAAGGGCCTCGATCTGATGAACTGAAGCGTACCTTGAAGTCATGATGCAGAAAAGCTGATGGTAGGCTATTGCAATTGTTTGATATGGAAGAAGGATGACTGATCTTAATAGTAAAGAGAACTGGAATCCTCGACACTTTCCTTTAAATACAATTGGGTCTAGTGTTGTTACTTTCATAGCCTCTTTACTAAAGCAAATAATCGATGAGTTATTAAAAGTGTAGCTAGCCCTGAAAATTCATCCCAGCGCTTTGGGAGTAACAATATATACTCTTTACCTTTACAAGCTGCGTCAACAACATTATTACCTGTTAGTTCCACTTTTAAAGCATCAATGATCTACAGCTAATTGAGGTTTGGTTTGTAACCAATTTTTCGGCTTCGGCCGAAAAGGCTTCGGTCGAAAAGGGCTTCGGTCGAAAAGGGCTTCGGCCGAAAGTTGGTTACTAAAACTGAACCAACGGGTCTTGGCTGTGGTGGCAGAACATGCTGCTTTACACGATCGGATGCAACGGTGCTTCCTTATGTAGAACCTAGTCAGCCACTGAACAATCATTTGATTCACACCCGAAACTAGACCTATATACTCGTCAATGCAATACAGCATCTGTCAGCAAATACCAATATTGTTAATGAAAATTGATGAATTTATAATATATCGCAGGCTACTGCAATATTTTTAATATGCCCAGGCCTATCAAACCTAATGTATTTTTCTTTTCTATGCGTAACTCTAACATTACCTTGAGAGAAACTTTGAATAGGTAACCAAATAAGTCAAATAACACCACATCTGGCTCAAACATTCATAAGCAGGGCTTTCAAATCCAGTTATGCTCTCTTACTAATATGAGAGTCCAATCGTTGGAAACAATGTAGGAATGTGAATGGAATGTCGGGATGCATAATAATTTCTTGCAAAGTTTTCGTGGCTTAGCAACCCACAAGGGACTAAGTTGTCGCATATAAAATTCAAGGTGCGTCCTAGATCCAATACTTCCATAATACTACCTAATCCCGTGTTAAGATCTATTCGCAATGTCACAAACTGTTATTCGGCTCAGAGGCAAGAGGAACTCGGTTCGAAACCTGAAGGCGTGCAAAGAGGACGTCCAGCCGCCCACTAAACATGAAGTTCTTGTCAAGGTTCACGCGGTATCCTTGAATTATCGTGATATCGCTATCGCGACTAGTCAATATCCATTTCCTGTCAAGGAAAATGTGATCCCTTGTTCGGATGCCGCAGGAACTATTGCCACAGTCGGCGATGGTGTTAAAGGCCTCGCTGTCGGTGACCGTGTCATTTGCGCATTCGACACGAGCAACATTTTCGGAGATTCAGACTTGCTAAACGGGCAAGGAGGACCGGTAGATGGGGTTCTATGTGAATACATTGCGGTTCCAGCCGCTGCAGTTGTCAAGGTTCCTGAAGACTCGCCTCAAAGCTTTTCGGAATGGTCTACCTTGGTCTGCGCGGGCGTCACAGCATGGAACGCCTTGTACGGCGCAATACCTTTGAAGCCAGGCCAGGTTGTTCTTTGTCAAGGTGGGGATATGCCGTTTAGCATTCCTAACATCTCTTGCACTCAACTAAATCTCAGCTAATCATTTCTTTCTATTGTTAGGGACTGGCGGCGTGTCGATTTGTGGGTTGATCTTGGCCAAAGCTGCCGGGGCCATCACCATTGTGACGTCCTCTAGCGATGAGAAGCTCGAGTTGGTCAAGTCTACATTTGGCGCCGATTTTGGTATCAACTACAAAAAGCATCCAGAATGGTCCAAGGAGGTCTTGAAGATTACAAACGGCGAAGGCGTTGAATATGTTCTTGAAAACGGAGGGTCAGGTACAGTCAAGGAAAGCATCAGCTCCGTCAAGATTGGAGGCAACGTATCGGTCATTGGCTTTCTCTCACCTACAAGCCAAGCGGAGATGCCAGATGTTGCGCATCTTGCACTTGAAAGAGGAGCTGTCATTCGCGGCGTCCATTTTGGTTCCGCACAGTTGTTACAGGACCTTGTGCGATTTGTCGGGCGCAAACGTCTTCGATTACCAGTTGAGAAGGAATTTGCCTTTTCCGAGGGCGACGTGATAAAAGCATTTGAGTACCTCCAATCGGGCGCACACATTGGCAAAGTCTGTATCAAAGTGGTTGATTAAAGAATACTCAAGGCTTTTAACTAATAGAAGTAACGGACTGGTATGTTGGAATCTTTTACAAAAGTATTAAAGTGTATTTTTACTGTATATAAGACCACGGGATAAGCCGCATGGCCTAAGTTGGAAGTCAACGCCATATGGTTCCTGTTTCTTCATGTTCTTAAGCCACCGTGATTGTGCATCAGCTGGAATCGCTATCGTAGATTTCTTCCCCATTCGGCGGCAGAAACAATAATTAGCCAATGGGATGAGGATCATGCAGTGTCAGCGGCTTCGACCCCGGCGGTTTGTGCCGCCTAACATGGCAGCGAATAGCACTTGAGGACACATACTACAGTTTATGAGCCTCTGTGATTTGGGCCGCTTGTAGACATGGGGAGTTATGAACATGAGAGAGCTTACAGGCATAAGAGGTGGGCTTAAGAGGTTTAATTTGATGTTTTAAAAGCCCCGAGGTCACTCAAAGAGGAAGCTCCTGTAATGCGGCTAAAGTGCCCACCTTAGATTATTTTGTGAGCTTGCAGATTAGATGGTTCCTCCGCCACCTGCAAAACTGAAGGGATGCTCGACCCATTTCCTTGATTGGGAGCTCTATCCAAGTCTGCGGTGAATACACAACCAATAAGGCTACTCTGTCAGCCACCTCTGGCTCGAAGCATAGATTTGGTCGGAGTCAACAGCTTTGTCGCATTTGTATGTCATATATCGGAAGTGGATCTGAGAATCACTGCTGGTCGGCAGCAAGAGAAAGCTGTCTCCTAAATAGACAAAGTTTCGTCGCCAATGCATATCGGACACTGTGATTTGGCCATGAGAGTTTGGCCATGAGAGGGGAAAGGGGTCAGGCGCTGGGAATTCTTCCTTGATAAGGGCGATGTTGTCGCTATTTTTCTGTGGCGCGTTGCAGATGCGCCGCTTGGCTGTTTGCCGTTTACCGTTGAGAGCCACGATAGCCTCAGTCACATCGAAGCTCAGATCGGGTGGTTGTTGGCAGAGCAATTTTGCTAGTCGTAGGTTCATTGCTGGTTGTGCGTACACGTCTTCGTCATCGTCCAAGCCATCAGCAAACTGCCGCTCGATATCCCACGTTAGGCAGTTGTACAAGTCTTTACGGAATTCTTGTTCGAGTTTCTTCATCCGTTGCGCGCGTTTGCTGTTAATCGCTGCTGTGAGCTGTCTCATCGACTTCTTATTGAGTGCCTCATATCTGGTATCTCCCTTTCTTCAGCTGCTCTCTTCGCTATCCCAATCTCTATATTTCGGGATCGAGGAGTAAGTTGAGCCGCACTTTGTCTGGCACCATATTCTTTCGCGTACCTACATGTATTTACATACATCCCATTGGGTGCATCGTTGGGAGATCTTCTCAAACCAGCCTGACTCGCCAGAGGGTTCGAACCTCTTTTCCCCGCACCTAATTGACTGAATCTTTGTCTTTTTCTATCATGCCCGCATTCCAATTGCTCTACCCAGTCCATAGCGTTCATGTTGCTATTTCGCCTCACTGAATAGTTCTCCACTTTAGGTGGCAGGGCCTGAAGCGGGCTAAAGCTCCCTCCGATCTCGGCAGGTGGGGGATGTTTCTCCTCCAACTCGCCCAAAGCAAGCTCTCAATTCCTTCGTCATAACTCTAAACTTCTGACTTTCTCCCACCTCGTCTTGGACTCATTCTCGTGCCTCATCACAACTCCGTCGGACAAGCATCGCAATCATGGCGGAACACAACATTGTCGTTTTTGCGGGCGACCACTGCGGCCCAGAGGTAACCAACGACCCCGAGCTTTCCCTTGGCTCTAGACAGAGAGAAGCTAACTTTGGTGATCTGACAGGTTATTGCCGAGGCAATCAAGGTACGAGTCTGGGATTGCAACCTGCAGCTGAGCACGTCTGACGCAGGATTCAGGTTATCAAGACGGTCGAGCAGCTGAGCCCGACTGCTGGCAAATTCAATCTGCACGACCACCTGCTCGGAGGGGTAAGATTACACAGGCTCAAAGACACGAGAGGTCTCTTGCTAACCTCGGCGTCTCTCCAGTGCTCCATCGACCAGACCGGCTCCCCCCTCACCGACGAGGCCCTCGCCGCCGCCAAAGCTGCCGATGCCGTGCTCCTCGGCGCCATTGGCGGTCCCAAATGGGGCACCGGCGCCGTCCGCCCAGAGCAGGGCCTCCTGAAGCTGCGCAGCGAGATGTGCGCCTATGGAAACCTCCGTCCCTGCTTCTTCGCCTCCGACGCCCTCGTCGAGTCCTCCCCCCTCAAGGCGTCCGTCTGCCGCGGCATCGACATGATGCTGGTCCGGGAGTTGACCTCGGGCCTGTATTTCGGAGAACGAAAAGAGTACGATGGCGTCAATGCGTATGACACTGCTGTGTACACGAAACCAGAAATCGAGCGTATCGCGCGGCTTGGCGGCTACCTGGCCAGGACCAGGGGAGACTCGCGGGTCATCTCGCTGGACAAGGCCAACGTGCTGGCGACAAGCAGACTCTGGCGCAAAGTGGTTGACGAGGTCTACAAAAACGAGTTCCCCGATCTCAAGGTCGAGCATCAGCTTATCGACAGCGCGGCCATGATCATGGTCAAGAACCCGACACAGCTGAATGGCGTTATCCTGGCGCCCAACTTGGCAGGTGAGCGAGGCCCTCGTCCACCTCAAAGGCGGTTTAGCTAACCACTTTTCAGGGGATATTCTCAGCGACGAGGCGAGTGCCATAGCTGGAAGCATAGGCCTCCTCCCGAGCGCGAGTCTCTGCGGCATTCCGGGCTCGGGCTCAGACTCTGCAGTTCGCTCCATCTATGAACCGATTCACGGTGAGACTCCTATCCTCCACTCGAGCCCTCGTGTAGACACTAGTCACTAACATAGATGACAGGGAGCGCGCCGGATATTTCAGGGAAAGGGATTGTTGTGCGTTAAACCCCCGTTTCGGCGATTCCCATCTAGGTATTCGCTGCAAGTGCAGAGCTGACATCGTTTTAGAATCCCATTGGCACCATCCTTTCCGTAGCCATGATGTTCCGATACTCTCTGAATCTCCCCCACGAGGCTAAAATCGTCGAGGACGCGGTCCGCGCTGCCATTGACGCCGGGCTGAGAACCAAGGACATGGGCGGCAGCACGAGCACCGCAGAAGCAGGCGATGCCATTATTGCTGAGCTGGCCAAGCTTCTCAAGGCGTGAGATGTGGGCGAAATGAGTCGAGAAAAGGTGTTGGAGGAAAATCGTGGTTGACAGAAAAGTGGTTGACGCTGAAAGGTGTTTACGAAAAAGGGCTTGGCAGAAAAGGGGCAGACAAAAATCAGCTGCGAGGTTGAAGCCGTCTGAGAAATGACAGGGTTGAAAAAGAACTTGGTATTAAAAAGTATGCAGAAACATGGAAATGGGGGACATGTACAAAGCAATAAGACGGTCGGATCGGGTCAGACGTACTACCCACGAGTTTAGGGTCCATCGGTATGTCATTGGAGATAGTCAAATTCGCAATCAAATGTGTCTTTTGTCTGTATTGGCTATACCTGAAGCTCGAAATCCACGTATAATGTAAACCTACTAGTATACGAGTATCATCAGGCAAGCACAAGGGCATCGCCGATATCTTAGGCTTTTCACTGAACAGCATGACGTAGCCAACGAGTTGACAAGACAAGCTCAGAATCTCTATTAAATTATATTCAGAATGAGCTACTTTCATCAGCTGTAGGGTGTGTTTTATATGTTAGCACTAAACCCTTCAGGAAAGGCTCCGTCTCAATATGAGCGAGCAGCATTGGTTCATTTACCAACTACCGCAGTTCATACCTATTCATATGCAGCAATAAAAACAAAAATGCCTATTCTTCATTTTCATTTACTTCTCTCAATAAACTCTTCTAAACTGTCAGCGATTGTCACGTGATGGACATCAGCCGATGTAACAACAGCCAAAGTCAGCCCATCCTTTCATTGGCGTTGAAAATGACGCACCATCACTTGTACCATTAACATCATCACAGTTACAACTCAGGGCCGTAATCATGGCGACCAGAGCCTTCTTTGACCCGATCGCCGCATTGCGGGCAGCGCCGTTGCTCACATCGACTTGCACGCTCTGGTGGGCAATGGACGAGCACTTTTTCCTCAGCATCTTCAACACGCCCGAGATCCGCAGCAAGAGCAATGAACTGCTGCCAACCTATTTCAAGGAATTCTTCGAAGGCGGATTGAACCGCACACTTGCCCTCCTGACTCTCACCATCTCATCCACCATGGCTACCTGTTTCGTAAACCACGGCTATCACTGGGCCAACAAGTCTCTGCGGTGGTACACAGCCGGAATGGTATTGACAGCCGGGCATCTCGCCTTTGTGCCGGCCATTGCACCCAAGATCAAGGCCATTGTCGAGGACACTTCCAAGGGCGAGAGCACCAAGGATCTGGAGAGCTGGTTGAGCGTCCACACGATCCGGACCTTGACGGTTGATTTGGCGGCGTGGGTGTGCTTTGTCATTGGCACTGCGCGCGAGATTCAGGGCGACTGGGATTAAAAGTTTGAAGTTGGGGATTTATCGTGTACTTTTCCTGGTGTTTGCTGGTATTTTTTGTTGGCAGAGGTTGATTGATTGGTTTCGATGAGAAGACACCCAACAGATTGATACGCATGACACCATGTATTTTTACTGGCAGCTGGCATTTTGATAGGCCCCAAAGGGTTAAAAAAAGGCTTTAAGATTCGTATTTTTAGCTAGCGTTCTTTCACGTGCAATTGATATGTTCTCGCTTGACATTTTTGATAAGAAGAATATGATATCAGCAAGAAAGTAGTCTCATTGCGGGCTACAGGGTACCACTCATGATTCTTGCCCTGCACCTCGAATCGTTGTCAATTTGAAACATGTTACCGCATCGAGAAACTGATTCGACCTTTATTTCCAATTCTAATCTCGCTCGGCAAACTCCGAGTTTTTGCATGGATGCGTCACGAAGCGTATGTGGCACCGCCTTTTTGTGTCAAGCTCCGCGTAGACAAGGTCCGTCTGCCTTGAACGAATTGGCCAATAAGATTGTCCATTGTTTGAGACTCGAAAATGCCTTGTGCTTGTGTCGCAAGGATTCCCGCGTTTCACTATTCTCTTTCAGCACTAGTCTACAGCTCGTTCTCGTTTAGCCGTCACTACGATTTGCCTACATAGATGTTCGCCCCTCGTCATCGTTCAACTTACACGTTCTCGCTTGAGGCTGGGCTGCATTAGGGATACCATCTGCAATAATGAGTCTGATTACTACGCTGCCCCTGGTGGGCGGACGCGAAGAACAGCCACAAGAGAAACAGGCGCCGCGAAAGAAGCATGCAAAGCTATTCCACAGAAAGACTAGAACGGGCTGCCAGCGATGTCGAGCTCGGAGAGTCAAGGTACGAATGCAACACTCTATATCAGCCCTATAGCTGTGGAGACGCCATTTGAATGAGTTCTGATATTTGGGTAGTGTGACGAAGCTAGGCCAATCTGTAACAATTGCACACGACTTGATTTGGACTGCGAATACGCCCAGTCCTCAGCACAAAAGAAGAATAGCGAAAACAATGTTCAGTCTTCGGTTTCACCAAGCGGCGGTGAAAGCGTCAACTCTGACGGATTGGTGCAACCTGAAGAAACAACAGCCCGCCGGAAACTCGAACTCGAGCTGTTCTATCACTATTCCACAGAGGTCGGACCAGCCCACAACGTGGACAAGTTTTCTCAGAACTTTCTAGGCCCCTTTACGTGCCAGGCAGCTTTGCGGTCAGATGCCGTTTTATACGCTGTTTGCATGGTGGCGGCTCTTCATAAAGCGCACATATCTGGCGATGACGGCTCAAAATACATGGATCACTGCTTGACCTATGCTAATTTGGCTCTTCAGTCGCACCACCACCAGGTGGCCAATCTCGATCCCGAAAATGTGGACTTTTCGTGCCTGACCTCTAGCCTTTTACGGGTTTATAGATATTATCAGTTACAGAATCGGCCTTTGGAGCCGTATGCGCCTCCTATGGAGTGGTTGCGCATGTGCAACACCAGCAATATTGTGTTCCGCAAGGCATGGGGGTTCCTTGAAGACAGACAAGAAACAGTGAGCGGCAGGTTGATGCTGGAAATCTCGCAAAATCTGGAAGAAAAGGACAGGATGGAGCATTCTAACGAGCTGATTCACCTCATGCGACGTCAAGAGCCCCATGAGTTGGAGGAACAGTGGGATGACGAAGTTCACAACGTGTATAAACGCACTTTGAGCTGCCTTGGCTGGCTCTGGAAGCACAGATTCGACAGCGATCCCCCCTACGGCGTGTCCAGACGGCTTTTTCTATTCCCCATGATAGTGGACGCTCAGTTTGTGGTGTTTGTAGAGGAACAGCGGCCGCGGGCACTCGTTATTCTGGCGCATTATTTTGCAATGCTTGCAATTATCCGCCAAATGTGGTATATTGGCGATGCAGGCTTCCGTGAAGCCAAAGCAATTGCGGCTGCGGTGCCGTCAGCGTGGCTGGGGATGCTGATTCAACCGCTGGAGATTTTGAAGGATCCATCCTTGTTGTGTGATATTCAGCCCAAAGCCTGACTTGGTTGTTGGAGCAAATAATATGAAACCTCTATAGAGTGCAGGGAGCGACGATCATTCAGGATGAGCATTTCCATCGTTTAAGAGCGACGGCCAGTAATTATCGGCCACGGCCCTTGGCAGGTCAACATTGAAGCACTAATTTAAAGCTGCTGTCAGCTCTTGTGGGCTTTTGAGCTCTTCTGATTAGCCGTCGTTCTCGTTCAAGCTGCGCTAATCTAAATATGGTGGCGGACGAATCCGCTGAGGACGCTATAGTGAAGTGGGATTTCTTAGTGGGAGGTGAACTGAAGGATTGAGAACGTAGTTGAAGATATTGATCATTGTCGCGACTGTAGGTATATATATACTCATCGTTTAGTCCGCTTTAGCTATTCATTCTACTGGAGACATTCAATTCGTCAAAACCCCTCTCTCTTCTTAAAGAGTGAAAGAGTCTCGACAGTATTGAACTCCCGCGACTTACACTTCATCTTTCCCATCAAGCCACGACTTACACAACGCAATGACTACCGACGGCCTCTCAGCCGCGAAACTCGCCATCTACTTGATCCTTCTCCAACCAGCGCTCTATTGTCTATGGAGACACGGTAAAACAGGATTTCTTGGCTGGCTCTATATCCAGATATTTTGTGTCCTGCGCATTGCCACAGGCGGAATTGGCCTGCATGGGAGTCAGACGGGAGAAGCAGCTGTGATTCTCAATAGCATCGGCTTGTCTCCTCTGCTTCTTTCTATTTCAGGAATATTGCACGAAGCGTGAGACTACAGCTTCTGGCTTGAATATTTACTGTGAGCGTCTTTTACTAATTTTAGCTTCCAACTAGGCGACGTGCTGTGAACCCGCGGCTCAACAGAAAGCTTGACATTATACTCGAAATCCAGTATCATGGCATTGTTGCTCTGGGAATGATCCTTACAATTGTCGCTGTTGTTAATATTCTGCACGGTGGCGAGATGTCAAAGAATAGACCATTGCTTGACGCTGGTTCGGCCATATCGTGCGTGGCTTGGGTGCTTGTCGTTCTCTGGGCAGTTTGGTCGCATTTTATGAATCGCCGATTCTCGTCGTACTCGGACATGCAAACGTCGGAAAACGGTAAAAGGGTGAGTAGCTTTAAGCGTATTCTATATTTTCTTTTACTATTTTGACGACAAGTTGCTGACGAAATGCCTTCATAGCTGCTTAATGGAGTGTTTGTCGCGCTGCCATTTGTTGGAATCCGCCTTGTCTACGGCATTGTGTTTCTACAATTGACCATCTCGCGCACGCATTCAGCTTTTCTCACGTCCAAGGCCGTTCAAGTTTGCCTCAGTTTTCTTCCCGAGCTGGCATGCATCATCAGTCTTCTTGTGGTTGGCGTCATGACTCGCTCTTTGAGGCCGAACTTGAAGAAGAGGGAACAAGAGGCGGTTCGATTGGTCTCCAGTCAAGGCATGCAACTACAGCAATCGACAGAGTACAAGTGAATGTGCGCTTTTGGACTGCTATAAAAAGCTAAATGTTTTATTTATATGTTTCATTTTTACTTCGACCAGACTGCGGATCATACACACACCGGATGCTTCATTCTCATCAACCTTAGCTCGCTATTCATCACATTAGGTCTTTGTAGCGGGACCGATACTTTGAACAATCCAAGTTGCTAGCCTCTTGGTGTTACTAAGCTCTCCCGCGTCTTCATTCACTAGTAGCAATATCCGTCGTCGGTTTATTCTTTTCTATAATTTTGCCTGCGCTATAGCTTATAAAATAATTAATTCTGTTGAACAAAATTTTCAAATCAACGCGCGAGAAGCGCAAAAGGTAGCTCTGGTTGACCGTCACGATGAGTTCGAATCTAGCCAGACATGTATCTAACCTTTCAAACCCATAGAATTCTTCTATAGCACGAAACAAGTAGCATCTTGATACAGCTGTATGGAATGAAACAAGTCACATTACTTCATATGAAGGCTCTTTTATTTGGCTGATATAGACACGATTGCACTGGGTAGATATTGCGATGACAGTCTGGACAAAAGGGCTACTTGGTATTGTTAAGCATGATAAAGAGACATATAAGATGAAATGAGATACTAGTAGGTATGTAGTCTATCCGATACTCATTAGCGTTCATTAAGTACATATGCTGAGATTAAAAAAATAACTTACGTCTTGTCAAATATTTTTGGATTACCTCAGCAGTCTTGTGTATGTGCCCATCTATTCATCCTCGATCTCTGGACATATCATATGACCACTCTTTATTTGATGCCCCCAAAATTGGGCCCAACTGCTGTAGCATTTCCGGGATTGTGTATTAGTATCGCAGCAATCATCGGCGAGACACATAAACCCCTTATTGACGGCGAGCTGAGTTCCACAATCTGCTTCAATGGGTGCATTGCATACTAAGCAACACACGATCGCTGATGAATTCGACCCAGTACCAGTCTCTTCCTGATATACAGAGGCATGTTTAAACGACTCCGAAAAATGAACATGGAGCATGGCTGACAATAGAGTCTCATATAAGGGTTCCAATGCTTCTTCCTGGTCTTCGGTATATCCTAAAGCTAGTAGCAATGCACACTGAGCTTTCTCTATGAGAAGATACCAGTAATTTTCTTGGACTGCTAGATGAGTTTTGAAATACTGGATCATCATGAGAGTATCGATTAATGCGGCACTTTCTTCTTTTGTCGACCGTGCCATTCTTGGAAGATTGCACAGCTTCTCGTGTAAAAGCTCGGCTGTCATATGGCAGAAATGTTGACCAAGTCGCTTCTGTACTTCGGATGGCAGAACAAAAAGGCCATCCTTTTCGCATCCCGCGGCGTCTCGCCAAGTGATAGGCCCATCATGCGATGGTTTGTGGAAAAGAACATCTGCAGTGTGAAATCCACCGCCCATGTTTGTGTTGGAGTTGACACAACTGTTATCGGTATGTTGATCGAAAAATCCATCCCAAGAAACCCCAATTCCAGCAATATCTGCGTCTCGATTGAGCAAATATTCCTCAGGGACTTCAAACAAATGTGCGGAGCCTTTTCTTTTACGTATGTAAGGGGAATCCTTTGTAAAAAATGAATCAAGATCATCCTTAGTATGTTCCATCACATCTTCTTGGATATCTTGCGGTGTGTTGAACTTTGGTTTTTTTGAACTCGGCGTATCGGTGGCAGCAAGGCCTTTTCTTTTGGAAGTAGAATTATTGGTGCGCCTAGATTCTCCGGCGTCAGATTCTTCAGCTTCAGCTTCTCCAACCTGAGCTTCAGCCTGAACAGCTTTAGTCTGAATCTTTTCAATCTGAATTTCTTCAAACTGAACTTCTTCGTGCTCAAATTCTTCATCCTCAAATTCTTCATCCTCAAATTCTTCAGTCTCATACTCTTCAGTCTCATACTCTTCATCTAGAAGTTCTTCAACCTGAGCTTCTTGTTCAACAAATATTAGACCCTGATTTTCATCTTTCGCAACGTCAGCCTGAACTTCTTCGTCCTCAACTCCTTCGGGCTCGATGTTGTCTGATGCAGGCTCTGACTCGGTTTTTGGTGTCTCATTACCCTCTGAAACCAATAGCTCTGATATATTGATCTCCTCCAGAAGACTTTTGTAGACATCAATCTGACAAGACTGCTCTATGCTTTCATCTGACAAAGCAACAAAGCTCGTCCACCTACTAGAGATGGCGTATCTAGTTCCCAAGAACTCAGCGTTAATGCGTGCCTGCTCTTCGTTCGCGCCTGCCTTTCTAATATCGTCTTCAAGGCTGCGTAAGATCGTCTTAACCGCCAGTGGATGGATATTGCTCTCTCTTAGTTGACTTGGCTTAACATCCATGATATAGACCTTTTTCTTAGCAGCATCCGATGTAGTCTTGATTATCACTGTCTTCGGTAGCTCGGTGCCTCTCGTGTCCAAGAGAAAAAAGAAAGAATTGTATCGAAATGGGTGTAATGGAGGGATTGGATGAGGACCCTGAGCGTAAACTGCCAGTGTTGTGTCGGATCTGTCACCAGCACCGAAAGCATAGCCAGCTAAGCTACGCCTCTCATATCCTAGGCCGAGATCAATGTCACAAGTCCACTCATTTGGCTCCATGGCTGACCGAACCATTCGATTCAAGCGGTCCTCCCAGCCAGGCTTCTTGGTTATATCGACAACGTCACAATATCCGCCACCTAACTCTGCAATACTCTCAACGACACTGTGCGAGACACCTTCCCCAATGCCAAGCGTGAAGAAGCGGATATTTTTGCCAAGTTTCTCACGAGTTTCCCAGACATATTTCAATATGGCGGTGTGAGATTCATCCACGATCTCACCATCAGTGACGAGAATAATCTGCGTAGATGGACAGCTGGGCTCACGATTACTCACAGCACCTTGTAAGGCGAGTAAAACCTCGGTTCCAATCATGTCTGCTTTGATGGTAGTTAAGTATTGACTAGCAAATGACAGGTTCTCGGGTTCATTCGCTCCCCGTGATCTATTCCACATGCCGCGCACCTCGCTGCCAAATGAGATGATATTGAACTTGCACGTGGTAGGCAGTCCATGCAACACCAGAGACATGGCATCCCTTGCTGTCTCAATTTTGGGTATGTTAATGCCCGGTTCCGTCCATTCCATGGAACCAGAGCGGTCAATAACGAAGAGAATCTCGCCTTCAAACAACTCTGGACGAACTGCGCTGCCAAACAAGTCGTTTGGACGGAGACTGACCATTAGTGCAGCATGGTCCATATCGTTGGGGGGCGTGATAACAGCGCAAGATTGCAGGCGAGTTTGCTCTAGCAGTTGGATGACGAAAATAAAATCATTTTTAAGAGCTGGTTGTGATTTGGACGTGTATTTCCACATATGCTGCGGCTTCTGTGCGCTGCTGATTGCCGGCTTGAGACTAAGAAGCTCAGCAATGTTCATAATTGGTGCGCTGCTGCTTGGCTGCAATCCCTGATATATAGTCGCAGTGCGATGATTCGATTCGACGTAGCTTGTGACAGGGTTTATTTCGCCGTTATCAAGAACTTGAATATGTATTTCCAGCTTATCACCGAACACCTTAGGTAAAGGCCCTGGCGTTGCAGCGGCGGCGTATCGGGGGGCAATAGAGGCTGGAATAATAAGAGCAAGGCCTTCAGATTTTTCCTTTTTACTAGTCACGGCCTTGAGTTCGTGCACGTAGGTCAAGATAACTTTAACCGTTGTTTTTGCAGGAATACTGCCCAACGATGTCTCAAAAACCTCCGGAGTGAGTTCCTCCAGCAGAGCCGCCACCTTCTTTTTTGCCTTTGACTTTTTGAACTCGTCTCTTGCTTGGGACGTTGGCTTAACAACTCCTCGTAGTCGTCGTGACTCGCCCACCATGCATTGGAAAGACGTTACGACTGCTCCCTGATATAAGGGGAAGGTATGTCGAGCTTCGGCGATATCGAAATCGGATGGGTTATGGAAACTCTGCGTGAGCTTCGTGAGCGATATCGTCCCCTCAATTGAGACATCGATAGAGATGCTGAGGATCGGAAGACAAAACGTAACTGGGTCTTCTGATGGAGAGAATGAAGGGAGAGCTGAATCACTCGCTAGTGGCAGCTGTGTACGCGATCTGGTGGTTGATGGCTCCTCAAGACAAGGGAAAATGGAGTAAACGTCCGCATTTTCTGTCGTAAGAAGATTCAAACTGCCTTGAGCTGCGCTACTCTGCTGAGAGTTCGGACTGGAATGTAATACTCTGGTAGCATTTTTGGGTCGCCTGACATCTGGCTTTGCATTACTGCCAGCCTTTTTCGAGAAGAGGATACCAGAAGCCAACGCTGGACGGAGGCGATTCATTTTTGCCCTCAAAGTCTGGTAAAGGATATATCTCTAGAAGTGAACAAGAATCAAGTTTGTTTAATGACGAAAGGTAACATGTAAAGGAAAACAAGCTGAAAGATGTTGCCGTAATAAAGCAACTAGAAGCTCGCGAGGCTGTGAAGGTGAGGGGGCAAAAGCGGTGTTGCCTTGGGCGGGGCTGCATGCAAGTCTTCGCTGTCCAATAGAAGATCCAATGACGATTAATCATCTGACATGCTGTTTGATGCCCAATTTCCTTCTAAGAGATTGTAGTGTCGCCGTTTTGCTGCGCATCTTAGGTTCAATTGATCTCGAGCCTACGTGATTCTCTACCTCTCCAAGGGTCCATCATGGCTGATCAGAATGGAGACCGTCTTAGCGGAATCGCATTGGCGCAGACTTGTGATGAACTACTAGAAAGCCTGTTGGATCTTGAAGAGCCAATACACGGAGACATGAAGGATGCTCGCACTCGATTAAAAGCTCTGAGCGTGCTGCTGCGCAAAATTGAGCCTCTGGAAGACCAGTCCTTTTTCCAAGCTGTCCTCGGAGATTGCAGCGAGGCAATGAATCAGATCTGCGCGACGAAGAACAATCAACTCGCGTGTGATACCGCCGACTTTACCCCTAGTCGTCAAGCTACTATCGTTAAACAAATAGAGGCCTTAGCTGATGTTCAGAACAATATATCCCTAGCTCTGAATCTGAGTTTGAAGCAAGTCATCTCCACAACCTACAATTTTGCCCTAAAACTGACCGGAGTTCACAGCAACGATGAACTTCAAGATGCGATTACCGTTGAATCTATAAAGCGAGGACTGGATGCTATTTCAGGCCACTTGATATCCGTTGCTGACGACATACTGCCGGCCACTCCCTCAAGCTTTAATAAAAAGACGTTCAAGTTGTGTGAAATAAAACTTGCCATCGACGGGTATTGGGATAACAATACATTCAAGCAGAATGATGTTTGTTCAAGCTGCTTTCTCTATAACCCACGTCCGAATACCTTGATAAGGAAGCTTAGATTCGGTTGCCGTTGTCGGAAGACTGAGGAGTCACACGACAGTGAGCTAGAGTACCAAGGTGAATACTGACACTTTGACCCCAGATATGCAACCGTAAAGGCTAATGATACCTACCTAGTATTATCTACAACCTATCTTGTAGAACAGATGCGTCCCGGCAAAGACCGTGCTTGGCAGATGATACTTTTCAAGCCGCGCATCAATGCCATCGTGTCTGTAATCATCTCAGAAGTTCCATCAACATGTATGTATAAAAGAGTCGCCGCTGAAACCTGTCGAGACATGTTGACAAAATAGACACCTATGAAATTGATAGCCTTGCCCAGAGCCTTGCTCATCAATTCTCAAAAGACTTGACCGCAAGCTCGAAAAACAAGGAGATTGTATTTGCCGAACAATTAGTTCTTAGACTGCCGTGCATCTCGTATGTATCTTGGCCCTGGACAAGTGGCCAAAATTCCTTCCAATATATCCATTGCTAACAATACTTAATCAAGCCCTCCAGAGGCCTTTCTAAACACACTCCCATGGCAAGTGGAGTTTAAAACATCCAACGGCATCAGTCCACTTGCTTGGCAACCCAAACGAGCACACATGAAGCACTATTCAGTGGCGACTGGTTTGCGAGACAGAAAAACCAATGCATCTCTTGATTTTCTGCCAAGTTCTGAGTTTGAAATAGAAATACTTAAAGAGAGCAGTAAAGCTAGCAATGATGATTTCAACATACTTGGTAAGACCCCCATATTTGAATAGATGGTCTGACAGGTTTTGACAATCGATGCCAATTGGTTTAGTTTCTAGAGATTCGATTATCACTGATGGGGCAATGAAAGGACGACCTTTATGGGTAACGATGTCTCAAATCAGCATTCGACAAGATAAATCTCGTTTCGGGGTTCCAGAAATACGCTTTGCTTTTGATAAACAGGAAGGTATATACCGATATGTCTCAAACTATGTCTGGTTCTAAGATCCCGGTTGCTGAGCTTGTACGTTCTACTAGACGTGGCAAATTGGATATTGCATGCCGAAGCCATGAAAAAACGGCTGGATCAGCTGCATGCGCAACAACGTTTTGCATTTGAAAGCGAAATTTACCACAAGTGAGAACTTACACCATTACCTAGGAGATATCTGCGACGAGATTCTGAATGCACGACATGCTTACACAAATTTTGGTAGAGCATCCCCGACGCTAGAACAAAAGTCTATCACAGAAGGATCTCAGTATCGGGATGTCAGCATATCCGTCATTTCTTCAAGCCCTAATAACTCAATTAAGAATAAACTTCGCATGGTAATGAAAAGAAATGGCTCATCTAGCTCGGTGTGCCTAGACTGTAAGAGTATCAAAGCTGAATTTCGGACTGCAAAGAGATTTTGAGTGTACTGACAATTTTGAGTCGGGCTTGCCATCCGAAAAATTGCCCAGAGAGGTTTCCACGGATCTCTGGATCTTATCAAGTTCTGGACTTACGACAACGATGGTCTCAATACTCCTGTTGTCCAGCAGACAAACTGGGATGAGTTGGTTACGCGAGGCAAGAGTCGCCAGTTATACCAGCTACGAGGCCTCAACGGGCCACAGGTTTTAAGGTGAGTATATCCAGTATTCTGGATAAATAGGTCATATGATTGAGAAAATTAACATTCATTAGCGAGAGAGAAGTTTCATCTGATCACTGGTTTGAGGATATTGAGAGGCTCGGTGATGCTATGAGATCACCAGCTTTTGACAAGGGCACGTACAAGTTAGTCAAGGTCTGTGTTATCGACACGGGCTTCAAGCCTAGTGTCAAAGGATTCGAGAAGATCAAAGCGTTTAAAGACTTTGCGGAACCAACTAATACTAACCTGCGCGATGGTACATGGCATGGTACAATGTGTGCGAACATTATCATGTCGATTTATGAGCAATGCGAGTTATATGTTGCGAGAGTCTTCATGTCTGACGACACAGATGATAAGACAGGGCCTGAAGCAATGGCTCAGGTATGATTGACCCCAGTGTTACAGATGCATTGTGAAATAGGCTGTACTGACTTGAGAACAAATGGAGGCTATTGAATGGGCAATAACACCTGACATTGATGTCGATATCATCAGCATCTCTGCTGGCTTTGTTGATCACTCTCCCAGGCTACAGGATGCCGTACAAAAGGCCAGCGCAGCCAATACGCTTGTCTTCGCCGCGGCGTCTAACTGGGGTAATTGGAAACCTGTAGCTTTTCCGGCCAGACATAATCTCTACACCATCTGTATCTTCTCCACCGACACGCATAACCGACCATCAAAGTTTAATCCAGAACGACGACCAAACGCACACAATTTTGCTATCCTTGGTGAAGACTTCCAGCATCCTGGCATTGCAAACGAGCGAGTACATGGCACCAGCACTGCCACAGCAGCGGCAGCAGGGCTTGCGGCACTCATCATCGACTTTACACGGCAGCAGGGTAACTACGAGGTTATCACGAGGGCAGCCGACGTCAGTAAAATGCTCGGAATGATCGCAGTCTTCAATGCAATGTCTGAGCGCGCAGGCGAGTTTAAGTGCATCATGCCGCTGAAACTGCTTCCGGCAAAAAACAATGATATGGATAACCAGGAGATGAGAGCCTATATCAGGGAAAGTCTATCGAGGGGGATGGATCAAGCCAACTGAGCAGCTATCAGTTTAGAAGTAGCCGATAAACGATAGAGGGAACATGACATACCAAATGGTAAAAGTCAAGTGGATGTTCTAAGATGCAATCTGCTTCATTGTAAGGTGTTAGGGCGCCTTATTTGAGAAAATACTCTTTTCTTAGACTGCCGCTACCAAATTCAGCCCTCAGTCATTGTCCATTGGTCTTCATCCAGCACAATAGCCTCGCCCAGATCATCATCTTCAACTACCTGGAAGGATTCTAACCCCTCGTTTTCAACAACCGCGCCGACATCGACATGTTGATTGTTCTCAGCGCTAAATGTAGCGCGACGGGTATAAGGGTCAATAGACCAGTCTGTCATAAGAATTCCTTTGTGTATCTTGGCGAGGCGGATAGCCCAAACAAAATCAGAAACCTGGCCTTCGTTGATGTCATCTTCGTGAGCAACTGTGGTGTCGCTAGTAACGTCACCGGTGGCCGCATTTAGTATATCGCTTTATGAGTACAAAACAAAATGTTAGAGTGATACTCGGATATCTGATGCGTTTCCATACGAGACCTGATATATTTTTTGGAACTCACGCATTGGGTCCTGCATTAATCTCAAATGCATTGCTCGTAGTCGTATTTAATCGCTTCCCCGCCCGTGCCACCCGAAGACCCGTAATCATGAAGAAAGACCAGTTTCCCTTGTGCCCGATATAATTCTTTACCTCATCTCTCTCCAAACACTGCTCGACATAGCGGCGAGTTGGCTGTACAATATATGTGTCGAGACGGCTGAACTCCTCGTACTGGCTAACAGACCTCTTGAATGCAATACTGACGCTGGCCTTGACAGTTGCCAAACCTAAGGCTGCGGCTACGGGTGCGTTGGTGGCGAGAGCCAGAGATGTTGCAAAACTACGTTTGCGCTCCCATTTGAAATCGATGATATGAGAAGAGAAGACGGCCATACGCTGTGGAAATGCCACCACGGCGCCGGCGTTGATAGGAAAGTCCAGGTGCTTCAGGTCGGCGATGCAGTGGCCCAAGCAGAGAGGGGCTTGCGAGTCATCTCCATCACCAGCAAGAATATTTTCCACTGGGCTAGGAGAGTAGTGAGTCTGCCGAAGCTTGAACCAGACTCTATCCATGGAATATCAGGTTTTCAGGAGTCAAGGCGAAATAAAAAAGGCGCTGGTAAATATCTTGGGTGTTGTAAGAGTTATATTATGACCCCGCCTACAGGTATACTTTCTTGCTCGCAGATTGTCACCTACCCAGTTAATTGCTTTGTCCTTCTTGAATAATCCTAGAGCGGGCTCAGCGGGATGATGCCCCACTCCGATTGATACAACTGCTTAATAGCCAATGGACAGTTGTACATTGTTATTGCAATGTCATTCAAATGTTCGGTGGCATAATCTTCGTAGCCTGATTACAACTATGAACTATTAACATAGTGTATAGAGGGATATGTAAAACTCACGAATAGAAAATATTCCTGTTCTTCTTTTTCTATATATATTCGGATAATCATCGATTAGTAAAAACGGCAAATCAAGGGTGTATAGCGTTTCAAACACCGCAACATTGACTATATAATAACCTCAACATACATTTACTTCATTAGTATAATCCACGATTCTATGAGAGCATTTAAAATAGTTGTAGTTGAGAATGTAACTCAGTATCTACTACCGACTCGCCTTTATCAACTGAGTAGACATTGACTGCACTACTGGCTACCATATCTTAACTGCCACCAGATCTAGGTGCAACCCTTTTGTTTCAACATTAACCCGCACGAATATATTTGTATCTGACATTCTCCATATCGGTGAGGCTAATCACAGCGTGCCATAGCCGCCATTGGAAACACCCGTGTTTGCCTGGTTCTTATATAGCGTACCCTGAGTACCAAAAGATTTCACAACGTTCACGACAAAGGTGTCAAGTTCATCTCGAGGAGTTGCCCCAGCATTCGCCAAAACATACGTAACAGCATCCGCAGCTGACATAGTGGCAAGCCCGAGCGAGGTAGAAGCCCATGGCTTGCTAAGGACAGTCGATGAGCCAACAGTATTGTCTGGTGCTCCATTTAGCTGTCCGTCATTGTTGCTATCAAGATAATTGCCAGTAGCATAAACACTCTGATCAGCCGCCATCTGGTAAAAGGCATTTTTAGAGCTGGTAGTGCTTGGGCCCGTAATGAAATAGTTGTTAATGATATCATGAGAGAAGACTCCACCAGTGTTCCCCGAGGTGTAGCCAGCTTGGTAGTTGTAGACGACGTTGTTAACGTATTGGGTGTTGTCTTTTGAGAGTGGCTGGCGATTGTGAGCGCTGACCCAGAGGTTGCGATAAAAGGTTGACGGCCCCGTCTCAACGTGAGCACCAAACTGCTGTCCAATAGGCAGGGCGATAATTGAGTTGGACACGGTGATATTAACAGCACCTACGGCGTCAATTGAATCCCATTGGCCGTATTCAACGGAACAATGGTCAAGAATGACATTGGAAGCCCCTCCCATATTGAACGCGCTCTTCCCAGTGTCCGTATCCAAAGTCCCTTGACGCATCCGTAGGTTGCGTATAATGATGTTACTTTTATCGCTGGCAGATATCTCACCCCCCATGATTCCAATGCCATTGCCGGGTGCCGACTGGCCATTTATTGTCAAGCTGCTGGAGAGTGATACCGCAGATTTCAGTTGGATGTATCCGCTGACATCGAAGACAATGTTGCGGTTGGATTGGCTAACCGCGTCGCGGAACGATCCACTGCCAGAGTCCAAGAGGTTCGTGACATGGACAGTTGTTCCGCTATTACCACCAGTGGCGATGGCACCGAATCCGACCGCTCCATCAAAAGCTAGACCCAGCGCTCTGCTTGCAAGGGCCATAATGAAGACATTCAGATGTAGACGAAACATGGTAGTGAAAGAATAACTGTGTATTGTAGCCGTTGAAGCCAATGCTTTGATAGCAATGATGCGATCTAGAGATTAAAAGTACAATTGCAAATGAACGGGCTATTAAAGACGCTACTTATATATCTTTTGACTCTGCATGAACATTGCCGATCGAAGCCATTATTCTCCGAAACACGTTTGGAGCCTCTGGGGAACCCTGCCACAAAACGGAATATCCGGCGGTAATAGGTTCATGGATTGGAGGGTAATTTAGGATATGAGTATGAAGTGTGGATAAATAAAAGTTGAAAGAGGGATACGGACATTGAACCTTGGCTATTGTGTCGGGATTAATCACCGAGTTGCTTCTGTTCGTTGCATGGCGGAGATCAACTAACGCAAATCTAGATGAAAATCGTGAGAGGCTAAATATGATCTCGCCAAGAAGCAAGTTTCCACATTTAGCCGCATTTCCCATACGAGAAACTCCCGTCGGGTCGCCATCATTTCGAATGCGTAATCGATGGATGGTGCTCGTAATTATAAGAGGCTTCAGTTCGTGATGCTTGTTTCTAGTAGGGCTATGACTATGATACTATACAGCAACTTGAAATGGTCAAAACATATCTGTTCTCGCAGCCCCCAGACGCCCTTTAGTCTCGGTGAGTAAGTCTACACAGCGAGTCATACAAGCTTCTATGAAGTGCACCTAGCCGGCTATTCGTCTTGTGAATGCTCAAAACCTCAATTATAGACGTACCATGACACCCAAAATCTAAACTCTCGGTATGTGGGGGTTGCAGATGGACGGCTATAATAAAGTGTGGATTGACACTGGCGGATACGACATGTTTCCCTATATAATAAGCGGCCGGGGCCCTGTTACCCGCTCCAATAACAAATTTGACGTTGTGGTGCCCTGGTCTGCCAGTTATCACAGGCGAGCACCACTGGATATTAGGGAGTCCTTTATACGATTTCGCCGATCATGACTAATATAAGAGGAACAAAAACAAGTGTTTGACATGAATATTGAATTGATAAAATATTTAATAAAAAATTAAGTACTTGATAAAAAATACAATTAATAAAAATACTATGGCAGCTTTGCTTGCCACTTTGAGCGCTTTTAGCGGGCATCATACTTGTAATGCTGCTCAGTCTGTCCTTCTCTTCACTTCTATCACCGTTGTGGGATCGGACAACATTTCAAACCCATAATATATGATCTGTGGACGTATGCCTTGCGGCAATCGGACATCATACTGCATCAGAATTGTAGCCAGCGCGGCCTTGACCTCGTTTGCTACCATGAATCTGCCAGGACACACCGATGGCCCAAGACCAAAAGCAATAAAGTCGCTATTGACAGATACAAGCTGAGCAGCGTTGCTTGCCGAGCCCCCAGCCTTTCGAGCATTGTAGAATCGGTATCCGTCGTATACTGCTGGGTCCTTGTAGATGTCCGGATTCCACATGTTTGCCGTATCCACGGCCACATTTGTGCCTTCGGGCAACAGGCTACCATCAGGTAGAGTAACATCTTTGAGAGCCTTGCGTTCAAGATTAACCAGTGATCCGGGCTTCATCCTTTGCGATTCCTTGATGACGCTATCCATAAGTTGCATCTGAAACATGCCGGCAGTTGTCCACCCATACTGCTCGATTGCAGCTTTGGCTTCGTCTCGCAGGGGGTATATAAGCTCTGGATGCAAACAAATATCCACCAAGGTCTGCTTTAGCAGTTCAGTGGTGGTGTGCATAGCCGAAATCGCAAAGGCGAGTTGAGTCGCGGCTGGATCGAATGGTCGACCGGCGGCAATCTCTTCGATGTATGCGATGGTATCGTCGAATATCGGTGGAGACTGTTTTGCGTTTATGGCTTCGTCAATGGCTTGGCGTCTCTTGTTCAAAACTGGCTGCAACAGTTGGCGAGCGAACGCCAATTGCTTCCGACAAGTCCGACACTCAGGGAGGAACCAGTGGATGAACTTGCGCGTAAACCGAGGCCAGGTGCGCAACGCCCGCACGCCATTGAACAGGTTGATTGTATAGCTGAGGATGAGACGCTGCCATTGCGCATCGCGAGCCAGCTCGGCGCCCACGAAGACTGCAGATGACATGCGCCCGATGTAGCGAGCAGCATCTTGACCCCATGGAACGGGCCGCCAGTTGCCATCGTTGGTGGACCATTCGTCTTCAAGTAGTTCGGAGATGTGTTGTTGAAAGGTTTCAACTTCTAAATTTGGAAATTAGCCTTGCAAACAAAAGAGATATGTTGGTGGACTTGCGCCAGTTCTGGTTGAGCTTGGTTTTCGTAACGGTAATCATCATCCGGCTGGGATGAACAACAACTCCGTTTCCATCAAAGCCGGGATAGTGTGCAAAGTATTCATCGGCGACGAGCTGAACATGATCCAGGTCCTTGCAGTTCTTCACCCAGTCGGCGAATCTGGCTGGGAGAATGACTCTCGATCCTAGAGTGGTCATGACCCGAAATGGTCCGTTGTACTTGGCAATGCCATCACTGATGAGCTTTTTGCAGTTGGCGAGGAACTCGGCATGGGCTTTTTTCAGGAAGAAATCGCCACTATACTTGTTGATGACGGGAATCGAGGCCGATGTCGTGGTCCAATGCAAGAGTGCAATTGCACATGGACCGAGAACTGCAGAGAGCAAGATCAACGGCAAATAAGGTCCAAGACCCAGTGAATCGTACATGGTCAGAGCCATTTGCTGCCTAGTGTCGTTTAGTTTGAGGAACTGATATAAGTGGATTACGAGGCTTGTGTACTGTATGTATTTATTCGAAAAGGCCAGGTTGTGTGGGGAAACAAAATCCCCGGCCAAGGGGTAAACCTGTGACTCTTCGCCGAGCGTTAGTGACGCATCCGGCCAAGGTAGCTTATTTTACTTGAAATATCAGTACCCAGCCAATATTAAAGGTAGGCCTTGATGTAGGTATCCCTAGATTGCAAAATAATTAGTGTTAATGTTGTGACAGAGTTTTTAAGACTTGCTATACTAGTCAAGCCCTATTTATTTATTGTAATGTAAAGGCTAAGAGCAAGGATTGTAATATAGTAGTAGCCTTTCTCATGCAGTGGGACATTATAGCCGCAACGCAACTTAGTCAAATCCGATCCAGTTCAACAATCTCTCCCCGACCTGTAACGTTCTTGTTCTCCTCAGAAATGTCTGCGGCATTGTCCCGGGCCTCGGGAACGCCAAGTATTTGGGCACCCTTGTCAACGTGATTGGCGCCGCCGAAAAGAACGTCAATCTCCTCAAGCGGAATCTGCTTGGTCTCGGGGATGAAGAAGTAGACAAAGATGGCGAGGAAGATGTTGGTAGCCATGAAGAAGTAAAGGCAATTGAGACCTTCGTTTTTAAGAAAGGTTGGGAAAAACTGTTGGAAAATGGTGTTGGCGACATTCTGCATCTGCGAACACATTCCGATGGCTTGGGCACGGACATTCATGCTGGTAGTAATTATTAGCACTGGCTGAATTGATGAGTGAAGAGTGCATGTGTTCTTACCTAAAGATCTCTGAGGTCCAGATCCAGGTCGTAGCGCCCCATGATGGCTTGTAGAAGAAGATGAACAAGAATAGTAAGAACACGATGGAGATGCCGACGGATTTTGACTTGGTACCATCGATGTCAGGAGTTGTCTGGCCGATGACAGGGACAATCACTAACACAAGTTAGCATTATAGCGGGAGGCGGGCTACTGGCAGCCAAGCCCGAGAATAGCAACTTACACATGCAGATGCCCATGCCAATAGCACCAACTATAAACAGCCAACGACGACCAAAACGGTCTGCCGTCCATGTTGCATTGAGCGTGAATCTGGATGAGAAAAGGTTAGAAAAGATAAGCCCGTTGCAATTCCCTGAGACAGATTAATAGAAACAAGCAGATGAAGGGGAGTACTCACAAAATCCCAAAGGTAGCATTAAGAGCATTGATGAGGTTAATTGTTTGTGTTGATGGAAAGACCTTTTTATAGATGGCCGTGGAGTAGCTATTAAGCGTCCCTTGTCCAGTAAGCTGTTGGCCAACATTGATGATGAACGCAAGATATAATCGTTTGCGCACTGAGGGATCCTTGAATAAAGCGGCATAGCCGTGGCTGATAGCTTCCTTTTCGTACTCGAGAGCCTCGCGGATCGCCATGACCTCGTCCTCAACCTCTTGTTCCGTATCACGGATTTTGGAGAGGGCCGCTTTGGCAGCGTCAACATCACCGCGCTTTTGGATATGCCAACGCGGCGATTCGGGCTGAAAAGGTAGTAGGACCATGATGATGATGGGGACCATGATCTGGAAAATGACCACCATCTTCCAATCCCATTCGCCAAGAGCACTGCGATGGAGGGAGCAGGCATAGTTGATCCAGTACGCGATGAAAGATCCAACGGAGTAGAAGAGCTGCCAAAAGGCCATGATGACACCGCGGATATGTGGCGGCGCCATCTCACCGATATACACAGGCCCAGCCGTCAGAGCCATACCTTGGCCAATACCAATAATGACACGGCCGGCAATGAAGCAGCCGAGGTTGTGTCTTGGGGAAAAGGCCTGTATAAAGGTAGCGACAACGGTGAGAAGACAGCCGATAAACATGCCCCATCGTCTTCCTAAGTAATCAGCCTAGATAGGTACACAATTAGTTAAGACGGCTCCCAAATAGCTGCACGATGGCTCTCACCGTGGGCCCGCCCAAGAAAAAGCCAGAAACGATGGCGCCGATCGTATATGCCGTGTTGATCAAACCGATTCTATATGTGTCTTGATCCTATACAAACAGGTATTTAGTCAGGCACCAGAATGACCGGCCAAGTCATTTGACGACTTACGGGATCAAGATCGAAGTAGGCTAGCCAGTTGTTTGAGCCTTGAAGAGAGTTGAAGACGGACGCATCGTAGCCATAGAGGACCATACACATTGCTGCCACCAGCGAAATGTACCTACAGCTTGGAGTGAGCCAATCGGATACTGTTTAAACGATTGCAGGGTCCTCACCAGTTATAAATTCTCTTTGAGGAGACCATCTTGGCGGTGTTGCGAACGCCGAAGCCCCCTATGTGGTACCGGCTCCTAGTAACAGTGTACGACCTGCAAAATATAAGTTGCGAGACTGGTGCACAGTTTAGGAGAGATTGTAGGTGCGCAAAGGACGAATAGGTATGGTAAGTAGATGTGGGGGAAGATTCGACTTAAAGGTTTATTAACCTGCATCAGCACTAACTAGACATCCAAGCTTAAGACTTGGCAAACTGCAAATTCACAAACATCAGTTAAATCGGTTAGACAGAAACAGAAATTAATCCGCCAATGGATTCCAGCTTACCAGGTAGTTCTTGAGAGGTGCAGAGGAGGACAGAAGACTGACACCCGCAGTTTACTAGCGCCAGCCCACGGCTAAATCCCTTGCCAAGTCCTCGGACTATGATACCCCGAAGTGACTAGGTGATGCAGGATCACTTCTCTCGTGCTTCATAACGGCGTGTGGCTCCTTCACTAGGCATGTTATGTGGCCTCTGATCAAGATTACTTGTGAACCAACTAGCCTTTAGCAGACTAAGTTCTTAAGTACTCCATATGAACTACATCTGCATTCCTCTAAGCTTATCGACTATCAGGCACATCATAAAACGATCATAACAGCAGTTTAATATACAAACGATCTGAGGAATATGTATATGTAATAAACTCTACATATTCATCTCTAAACTATGAATGCATTAGAACTGCTTCGCACATAGTTCACCCACTAGCACCAGAAGCGCACGGCACTCCAAGATTACTCGGCGTGTTGGCGCATTGAATTACGGCCGATCCTTTCGGCGGTGTGACAGTGATGTTGCTGAGAGTAAGACCACATGTCCCAGCAGCTGGGCAGTCAATGTTTGCAATATTTGGTGAGTAGTGAGTGCTCGTCGTGCCTGAAAAGTTTCTTACCACCACACCTGCTATCTGCGCCGTGCTGGGGTTGGTCTCACAGTATGATGAGTCCTCTCCGTAGCAACTTTGCACCTGGAAAGCGTAGTCGGTGTTTTGCAGGATGAAATTCTCAAACGTCACGTTAGACACAACTGCCGTGCCGTGATCTGGCGGTCCTGGATACAGCTTGAGACCTGCCGCCTTGGCAGAGTTGATCATAGTTGCACCGCTGATGAGGCAGTTTTGAACCGTGTCTTTGCTGTTTACGCCGCTGCCCAAGCTCCCGACAGATATGCCGTGGCTGCCGGTGCAGGATATGTTTGTGACGGTGGCGAAGCTGCAGCCCGGCTTGAGCGCAACACAATCGTCGTCGTTGGTGACAGTTGCGCCGTCAATGGTTACATACGTCGACTGTCCAATGTCCCAGCCGTCAGTGTTGTGCGCGACATTCGCACTAGAACTGACGGCATATAGAGAAATGTTTGAGTAAGAGACATTGCTCGAGCCACCAGTGACCGAGTGGAAGACATTTGGGGCACTCTTGAAATAGAGGTTTGACAACTTTACATTCTTCGAGTTGTTGATGTAGAAGAGCGTCGGTCGTTGGTATGATGAATTAGCTGCAAACAGATCCCAGGCGGCCTGGCCGTTCCCATCGACGATGCCTGTGCCTGTGGCAGAATAAACAGTAGCCCCATTGATGCCATCCATGAGAAATATGGCACGGCGTCCTCCCCAGTAAGTAGTGTTGGAAGTCGCTTGAAGCGTGCCCTCGATTTGCAGAGTACATCCAGAACAGCCCACGAAGCTAAATGCGGTGTTGATATAGTAGGTGGTGGACTTGGGGATGACAATGGTTCCCGATGGACAACTAGCAATGGCAGACTGGATAGCCGGCGCATCATCGATAGAGCTGGAATGTCCAGCAACTGGAGTGCAACTCGAGCCTCTCTTCACCACTTGTGTGGGAGGTTGCGATATTGTTACTGTCGCGCCATTAACGGCTACAATCGCAAAGATGAGAGCACCTATTAGAATCATAATGAGAGATGAAGATGATTGTGGAAGTTTTACTGACAATTCCAACAACGCTTAGATACTTGGATAGTGTCATGTCATATTTTATAGGTGACTGTCGGATATTCTTAAAATGTGCAACATTCCCAGTACCTCAATGTAACATTAATTGTCTGTTCCAGCTCATTTCTTTCCCACACTCACGGCATTTATCCATGGCTTGGTTCGTACATACGTCTCAGTGTATGACACGCCTTAATTAACTCTTGAAAGCGGGAATGGTTTGTCAAGGTCAACCTCTGGTCGCGTATCTTTGGAGCTTCTCTCGGCCCACGATTCCCGAGGCTGCATAAACCCCGTTTTGCTAATTCGGGAATTTGGGGTAATGCCAGGATGCCACGTGTATGTGGACAATATGTTCAGTAGCGCACCAATAATATCCCGTAGACAACAATAGGCTCATCCATATCCCGTCCCAATGAAACAATACCACTAAAGTTGTGAAGATCAGAGGCGTCACCTCACAAAACCTCCTGCATAGAACCAGGCAATAGCGGGAATTTTATCCGTATCTCTAGATTCTAGCTAGACGCAGGGAAAGAAGAAATGCCGTCGGCCTTTTTCTTCGATTTTTGAGTCCTTTTCAAAGATTTGCGGACATGATGACAAACTCATCAAATGTTGCCATTGCAGTCCGATTGTACGCATTAAAATGGCAATGATAGTCTGTTGACAGATTGTCGTCCTTGAAGCAACACTCAAGAATCCTACGATGTTACATCTATTCTAGGCCTTGGGACAAATGAACGTACTTAAAAATGCTCACGATTTCGAGGCTCTACCTAATTTCTCTCTACGCTACGCTATTGGTACTGTTTTCATAGGCATCCCCAAACATCGCATAGTTTATCCACGGGCTGCAGGTGTTATGCCCATCACCTAGATCCAGAAAGTACAACGAAATCCTAGAATTACGATAGAGCATTCTGGGGTTATTCTTTCTATGAGAATCTGAGTGAAACATGCGTCTATCCGCATCGACGCATTTCAACGTTCCCTGAATACAGTAGATCTTCATGTGCGCTCAATGTAGCCCCGGAGATTGGAAGCAGTTAAATGTGGGTTAGCATAATCACTAACGCCTGTTAGCTTGCTGGTAGAAATCTCCAATCAAACAATTTAGCTATCTCGCAAAACTGAATTGAGCATAGTTATTACACGGAGCCATTCGCTATGGATTTCACGCTGCCTAAGCTCTTTAGTCAGGGGATTTGTACCTTAGTTTGACCCACATAAGAAGACGAGATATAAACGTCCTGAGTACGGCGCTGTGCCGTTCCGAATGTTTACAACAACATTCTCATATGAGGTTCATTATCCTTTAGAATCCTGGTATATTCTAATCCACTTCATTTGTGCCGTATAGATTTGCATCATCCGATACCATCACGGTTCAACCTCATAGATTCTGCGATAGCCCCCGCTCTCTCTTCAAACTCCGGTCGTCACCCGCGAAATCCGTAAACACTCATCAACAAACCGCAACACTAGCCACTTTCATCCAACTCAACCATCTCATCATGTCTGAACGCCTCAAACGCCGCAAATTAGACCTCGAAACACCGCCACCCCCAAAATCCAACCTGGAAAGCACTCCAAACATAGAACATCTCCCAGAAAAAATACTCCTTGAGATCATCGCCAATATTCCCGGTCTCGATACCCTGTGGAATGTTTTGACTGCATCACCTCACTGTCTTCGCCTCTTCAACAACCAAGCGCTCAACATCATCGAACAAATCTTTGCGAGCCCCAATTCCATTCTACCGCCGAAAATCCAGGAAATTATCCGCGCTGTAATTCTCACAAGAGCGGGTTCTCTTCCGTTCAAGAGCCGCGATGAGTTGCGCTACCAGTTTATACAATACCAACTGCCTCTTCAAGTAAATAAAGACAAGCCATGTATTACCTTTGGCCCCGATAGTTTAACAGCTTCGGATATACCGGTCTCAATTCTTCGTTCCGTCGTTGCAACGGCTCACCACATTTCCGCTCTAACACACGCATGTCTAGCATTCTACCTCACACAAGTCTACAATCCGAGTATTTTCGCGCCTCAACATGCTCAAACTCCTCTACCTCTCTACAAGATCAGAGGTTCAAACCCTCCCGCGGGCGATAAAACACCTGCTTGGCACCAAGTCTTCGTTGGAACGCGCTACACGGTGGTTGACGCAGGACCAGCTAGTTGGGTGGAAGAAATGCGTGTTACACGCGCCATGTGGCTCATTCAGTTAGTGGGAGACGTACGGTCCTTTGTTTTTAACAATTTCAGTACATCAGGCTGGTCTTACGATGACATTAACTCAACGTTCCCAACATCGACAGACGGCCTTGCTCAGGATGGAACCATGAACAGCGCTGCCGAAGAGGTACGGTCTGTATTGGCATATCTAGAGACGCTCGGCATCCAAACAAAAGGCACACCATTCTACAAACTACCCAAACTCCCTGCAGATGCAAAGTCCGTCAACCCAGTAACTCCTCTTCCAGATCCATGCGAAGCAACATGGGGAGGCTTCGGCATCTGGTACAACCACGGTCACAAAACCATCAAACTACCCCCCACGCCCGAAGCCCGAAAGCGTGCCAAAAGCCCCCAACTCAGCGAATCTTCTCTCCGCGGCCAAACTAGAGCCAGTCTCGAAAGTCAAGCTCCCGCACTCACCATGCTCCGACACTTCACAGAGGGGAGATACGGGCTACCCATCACAAACGCAAGGTTCGACACGTATCGGCCGTTTGGGCTGGCGTTTTGGGATAAATGGAGATTGCATCTACTGGGTCTTTTGGGGGAGGGGCAGCAGAGTGAGCGGGACCTTGATTTTTATTGTTTTGCGTGGGAGAGTTTAATGGAGGCTAGTTGGGTGAGGCATATCATGAATGTGTTGAGGGACGGAGTTGAGCTGGAGAATGAGAGCGAAGGTGGTGCATCTGGTGTAGGATTTGATGATGGTGGTGATGATGATGATGGTGATGATGGTGGTGGTGATGACGATGGTGATGATGAAGATTAAGTACATGTATACTTGGGACACAGGGCATTCAATGGACATCTACAGTGCTATAAAGCCACGGCTATTAGAGATGCTCGCCCTCTTGCTCTGCTACACACACTCCATACATGCATCATACATTATGCGACACCTTTACCTCCACCAGCCAATCCATCACCCAGCTCACAAGCACAACACAATCATTCATTCAGTCTCTCATTTACAAATTATGCCAACATCCCTCATTTGCCGAACCCTATCGCCGTTCTGTCGATGCAGACAGCCCTTGATTGCTAAGGAAGATTTCCTCTCAACCGAATCATTTTAAAATCGCTTAGGTTCGTCATTCTGCCCCAGAATCAAAGAATACACTCACTCTAGCTGTGGAATCAGATGAACAATCCTGAAAGAAGCCTCCCGCAGCTCCACTTGTATATCTGAGAGCTCGGGTTCCCGTTCTGCAAGGTAGATATGCTTTCACTCTTTCTTGATGACGTCGCCGGTTGCTTCGATAGTGAGCCGCTCTTTGTTCAGATTCAGGTAGTCCTCGAAGTGAATGTCAACAGTGAAGGCACCACGTAAGCCTACTGGAGTTTCTGGCCATTTTGTGCTATGGCTGTCTACCTCTATGGGACGCGCTATGTACATATTCTAATTTTGGGGACGCAGTAGACTGTATATCAGCGGATTTGAAGCGGCCGACTGAATTGCAATTTTGTCAGAAATATGCACCAAGAGCAAGAAGAGGAAAAAACGAGTTGGACTTGCGAAACCCGATTTAAAAGAGAGTCAAGATGCATTAACAGAACAGCAGAAACCAGTTCGCGACTCGAATTTGATCCGTTGATAGGAGATGAGATGCTCAGGGGAGTTGACACCACTAAATACAGCGCCTCCGCGCCTGGAGCATCGCTGAGCCGCTGTAGTAAAGCGAATGGCATAAGCCGGCCACTGGAAGAACCGCGTTCCGGTGGTTGATTCCTCAGGAACTAAGCATCAAATGATCTCGTAGAATTCATGCGACATGCTTCACAATTCACTGATGTAATTTCTCACGATGCACTGCCATCTCGTTTTACGAAATCATCGCCATTTTGCTATTCTTTCTGTCCCATCCTAGCGGATATCAAAATGCAATCACCACGCTTTTGCGTTCTCTCGCCAAATCCACCAAACTTCGTCCCTATGAGACCGTGAAGCTTCCCGTCAAACGCAAATCTCTGCTGCTCGCTCCAACGCTCACGCCAAAAGTCCCCGACGGCACCACCCACTGCTGCGACGCCACGTTCCAGTAGGTCAGATCTCGCTTGCGAATGTTGAACGTCGCGGTTCCGCTCTGGCCAGCCGTCAAGCTGAGCTTGTCGAAGCCTCGAAGCTGCCTCACGGGGGTTCTGGGTGCAGAGGACGGGTAGGTGATGTACAGCTGGGCAACCTCGGCGCCAGTCACGGCTCCAGTGTTTTTGATGCTCACAGTCACGGTGGCGACATCCTGGAACAGATCGCTGGGGCCTCCAGGAACCACAGCGCCGGTGGCTGGTCCAGACTTGGCGTTTGAGGTGATGGAAAGGCCAGAGTAGGTAAAGTTTGTGTAGGCTGCAATATTTGTCAGTCACTTCATTCTAACCATCATGTCGTGTTACGCAGTTCTTCTTCTCCATCGGGACAAAACTTACACAGTCCAAAGCCGAACTCGTATCGCGGCGTGATGCCGGCGTCGTCAAAGTGCTTGTAATCGATAAACAGCCCCTCGCTGTAGTTGTCGTCGCCCGAAGAAATGCGCGTGTTATAGTCGCTTGGGCTCTTGGCAATTGTATACACCAGCTTGCCAGACGGGCTGATGGCTCCCCATAGGATATCGACCAGCGCATTGCCGTTCTCCTGAGAGGGGAGACCCGCCCAAACAATCGCCTTGACCTGGGAGAGAGCGACAATCTGCTCTAGATTAATGGCGCCGACACTGTGGACAACGACGATGACGTTGCTGTTGGCTGCTGCCACGGCCTGTACCAGAGCAGTGCCGCTGTGCCATGCGTTCAGGTCATTACGATCGCCTGCGTTGCCCTCAACAGTGATGTAGCCTTCGCCTGAGTCTGCAGTGATGACGACAATGGCAACGTCCTTGCCGCTTGCCGCAGACGCGCCAGCAGAGGTGTTATCAGTACTGCTCAGAGTCAGTTTGGCGCCAATCGAAGAAGCCTTTGTGTTGATGGCGTCGTAAGGCGCCACAAAGTATGGGTAGTTGGCGGTACCAGATCCCCATCCCATTCCGAGGGCACCAAGGTTGCAGCCATGGTCAGAGCATGAGGCCGAGTTATTTGCGTGGGCACCGACAATGGTGGCTGATCCAATGAGGGCGATGCTCGACGGCGTTTTCAGCGGCAGAATATTGCCGGTGTTCTTGAGAAGTACAATGCCGTCTCTGGCGATGGATCGTACGTTGGTGTTGTGACTTCCCTGGACATTCCTGCTGAAGCTGACTGATGGAAAGCCCGAATCTTGGCCCGTCAAGTACCACGCAGCGAGGATACGCGTCACCATGTCATTGAGCCTGCTCAGAGGGACCTGGTTGCTGTTCACAGCATTGGTCAGAGCCGATCCCCAGTACAGGCTGCCACCGTTGAAGTCAGTGCCAGGCATCGACATGTCGAGACCTGCCAGCGCACTTTGCACAGTCGAGTGCTGCGCGTTCCAATCGGTCATGACGTATCCAGGGAATCCCAGCTGGTTCTTCAGCAGTGTCTGCAGCGTATACGTGTCCTCACACGCATACGTGCTATTGACTCGGTTGTACGAGCACATGACGGCAGCCACATTGGCGTTTACGGCGTCGGCAAAGGGCCACGCATAAAGCTCATGAAGGGTGCGGTCGTCAGCATTGCTGGACATGCTCTCCCGGTTCAGCTCCTGCTCGTTGAGGATGTAGTGCTTGGCAGTTGCTTGCACTCCAGCGCCCTGAATGCCGTTAATGGTTGCAGCCATTGCCAACCCAGTGAGATATGGATCGGGACTGAAGCCCTCCCAGTTGCGGCCGCCCTGTGGCGTCTTTCCTAGCGGCCCAGCCACCGGCCCCAAAGTGACGTGAACGCCTGCGGCTTTATTCTCCTGGCCGATGAATTGACCGCGCTGGCCGATTAAATCTAGATCCCATGTTGAGGCGGCTTGGACGCCTGGCGTGAAAGCAGTGTTGCCCGTTGAGAACCGGATGCCCAGTGGTGAATCTTGAAGACACAACTGAGGATAGCTGATACTTGACGCTGGAGATGTGTTTCCAACGCAGGGCCCCTTGTTCCAGCCAACGCCAGTCACGATGCCGACTTTATCCTGGAGCGAGAGCTTGGCCAATGCCGTCTGAGCTTTGGAATATGCGGTGGCCCAAGGAGAGCCTGCTGGAGGAGTGACTGCGCCTGCACATATTCAGCATCGTGTCATATTTGACACAGGGCTTCTTAGCTTCTGGGTGTACTCACTCCCTGCCCTTACAAAGGGCGTTGTGGCAATGGCCAACGCCGCTACGGCTGTGTAAAGCATTTTCCGCGGGATCAAACACAACGAGGCGAAGAAGGATGCACGATATGCTCCTAAAGCGATGACCGGAAAGCCAGTTCTCTGTCTACTATTTATGTGATTCCCATCCCGGCCTTACTAAAGTTTTACGACCTCATTCTGCCTCATTAGCTTTTAGTCAAGGCGTCAACGGCCCGGATACGTTACAGACGATCACCGGCTCGGCAACATTGCGGAGAAACCTAGTCGTTCCAATACCACCCACACTCATATGCCTGTATAGAGTACCGGCAAATTTCCCTATAATCAGGACTTTAACGGCGCAAGCGGTCTACAAAGATAGAGGTAATTTGCAAACGATCGGCACAGACAATGTTCCTCACGCATACAAGAATGGCGCTAATGTCCCCGGTTATTGTGCTCATATTGCGCCAATGTAGGTGTATATTCATTTTGCGGGCCCTATTTTTTTGCAAACCGCTTGCGGGGCTTCTCGGCGCTGATGCGTTACTGCAAACAGATGATAGTGTATCTGGAGTCATCGCAAAGGAAGGTTGCATTTCTCCTTGGACATTGACAGGCCTGTATAAATGGTGACTATTAAACGATGAAATCCAGGTCCAAAGCCAACACGTCGAAGAGTTGCTCTACAAACCCAAGTGAGTGCCGCGGCTTGGTGTTTCTCCACCGCCCAGCCTTAGCGGTGGGTCAGAGGCTTGAAGGCTTATTCTGCTTGCTCTAGCTGGCTAATCTAACGGTTGTTGTCTTGGAGCTTTCTTGGTCAGACGCTTATCTCAATGTCTCGGCTGCGGAATATGACTGATCAGTGGCATTAGTGACTTATTGCAACCCAAGCCGTCAACGGGAAAACTGCCAGACGGCATATTAACCAAGTTTCGAAGAAAAGAACAAACGAAGAACAGCCAAGAGACATGGCGCGATTCTGGTGAAGCTTCAAGAGGCAAGTGTTCATTCGGCATCAGCCGCTACTACCAAACAAGAAGGTCACCTGGATTCCGTGCTCTCTGGATGCAACTCTAATTGTCAAGGAAATGTCAACATGAGTTGAACTAATGAGCTTGGCCTGGGGTTTTTCCAGAGAGCAGCCGTCGAAACGTGCATGATCGTCACCTTGACACGACTTTGCTGCCGGCGGATTGGCCAATGGCGGTCATGATGCGACTGCCAAGGTACGAATAAGATTGCATGCCATTTATGGATAATTGATGATGGCAGATGCTGAAATAGCATGAATGACAGTCTATTAGCAAATACGCCGCTCTATCAGCATAAATAGCTGCGCATTAGCATGAATGCATGCGTGGTAGCGCTCTGTCGATCCGCTTAAACGGGAGATGTCCCGGTTAGGTGTAACAAAGTCGCAATTACACAACAATGACACAGCATCTCATTATACGCAGCGCATTTCGACTCCGACTTCATATAGATGCTCTAAGTGGTAAATACCTATCCATTGATCGATCCTTCGTATATGTACATGTTCAACTCGATAACAGTCGCGGTCAGTATCCGCTGCCGGGGATCTCCTCGGACATATACAAAGTTCCAGTTACAGTTACAGTGACCAAGCATATTACACATTAGCCAAAAGTCACAGGCATTGGAGAATTGCGTTCATGTAAGCAATACAACATTTTTATTCATTACTACCTTTCCATCATGACTAAATCATCGAATTAAAAATTATGCAGAAGCCTTAATCTGCTGCTCCTCAAGAGGCCAGTTCTCGAGCGTCACCTCGTCGCCTACAAGCTCAAACTCCAGCTTGACAGACTCGTCTGTGTTCAAAACAAGCTCATACTTGCCTGGGTAGACAATCTTGTTTCCATTGGAGTCGACTCGGGAAAGGGCGTTGAGAGGAATGGGGATGCTGAGCGTGGAGGAGTGGCCGGGCTTGATGGTGGCGAGTCTGTCGAATCCAACGAGCCACTTGTTCGGGTACGGCTTGGGACCGGCGTTGCTGGTGCGGACAAACGCCATGGCAGAGTAAGGGGAGGCCGTCTTGCCAGAGTTCTGAATGTTGGCGGTAAAGGTAAAGACCGGGGTCTGCTCACTGTAAGTGTATCCGGGGTGACCAGCGCCAAGGATTTGTGAAGCATTGAACTTGAGGGTCGATTGCTTGCCCAGAGTCTCCTTGAAGGTGGTGTAGAAGAGACCATCGCCAAATTGGTAGACGGGCTTGCCGGTGTACCAGATGTAGGTCTGTCCGGGGTTCTTCTTTCCATCGGGACGAAGGTTCATGTCGTTTTGAGCAAACTGGTGGACGTACTCGGCCGGGTACTGGGTCGAGACCAGACGACCAGCAGGTGCACGCTTGCCTGACAAGATATCGAAGAGGGCATAGCCTCCTGACTGGCCGGGATATCCACCCCAGACGAGCGAGTTGACCTTTTTGTTGCTCTTGATGGAGGATGAGTCGACCTGACCACCGCCCATTTGAAGAACGACGAGAGGCTTGCCAACTTCACTGAGCTGCTTGATCAGGTCAAGCTGGTTGCCGGGCCAAGCAATGTCGGTACGATCAGCACCCTCTTGCTCGATGGTGTTGTCAATGCCTCCAATAAAGATGATGGCATCGGACTTCTTGGCGGCAGCAATAGCCTTGGCAAAACCGGCGGTGGTCTGGTTGTTGATGCCTGTTCCGAGCTCGTAGTTGACCTCGTAGCCGGCCTTCTTGGCAGCCTGGAGAGGGCTGATGAGGTATGGCGCAGTGCCAAAGTAGTTGCCTTGCAGCTGCTCGGTGGCGTTGACCCAGGGTCCAATCAGAGCAATGCTGCGGACCTTCTTGGACAGGGGCAGAGTGCCGTCGTTCTTGAGCAGCACGATGCCCTCGACGGCGGCTTCGTAGGAGATGTTCCAGGCATCGGTCTTGACAACGTCCTTCCAGCCGAGGCTGCGGTACTCGTTCTTCTTGTCAAAGTATCCGAGACGGACCAGGTTGGCGTACAGCCGAGTGACGGAGCGCTCAATTTCGCCGCGGGAGACGGTGCCGGCCACAAAGGACTCATTCAGGTGCCAAGGGTAGGTCTGGCCACAGTCAATATCGGTACCGGCCTTCAAGCTGTCGGCGGCGGCGGATGACTGGCTGTTGGCGTAGTTGTGGGGGTTCCACACGTTGTAGATGGCATCACAGTCGGATGAGACGTAGCCGTACTCGGGGAAGCCCCAGCTCTCTCTGAGGAGAGTCTGGAGGAAGAAGCTGTTTGAGCAGCTGGGAACGCCGTTGACTGAGTTGTAGGCGCACATGAAGCTGTGGGACTTTGCGTAACGCGATGCAGCGAGGAACTGAGGGGTGTAGTACTCGGAGAGGTCCTGCTGGGTGATGATGGCGTCGAAGCCCAGGCGAGACTGGTTGTTGTAGTTTTCAAGATCGTATCCGGCAAAGTGCTTCGCGGTGGCGGCAATCTTGAGGTTCTCAGGGTCGACGCCGCCCTGCATACCGGTGATGTACTCGTAGGTGTAGGCAGACGTCAGCACGTTTGCGTCTTCGCCGGGCGTCTCCTGGCCACGGCCCCAGAGAGGGCTTCGGAAGCCGTTGATGTTGGGGGCGTAGACATCAAGACCGTAGCGGCCGTTGTTGCTAAAGGCACGGGCCTGGGTTGAGATGATGTCTGCAATCTGGTGGATCAATGTGCGGTTGAGAGCGGCCATTGACAGAATCGGCATGGGGAAAGAGGTTCCCCATTCGAATTCGCCGCCCTTTGTGGCAAAGTTGGCGCGGTCCAGGCCGTGGAGAGCCTCATTCCAGACCTGGTAGTTGGGAAGGCCCAGGCGAGGAACACCGGGACCCGAGTTCTGGGTGTTGAGAATCAACTCCTCGAGCGTGAAGAGCGAAATCAGCGCCTGTGCTCGCTCGACATAGCCGGCCGTGCTGTCACAGACGAGGTTGTTCTTGAGCGGGCCGTGGTCACAGTCGGGGAACGACAGCTCGAGCGTGGCGACCGTCTGGGGGAAGAGATCAGGCTGGCCCTGAGAGGAGTAGTTTGCGTATGTCTGGTTGTTTTGCGCCAGGGCGGTGCTGGGCAGAAGGGCCGTCAGAGCGGCGATGAGAGCTGCGTTGGAAATCATGGTGATGATTTTGGTCCAACCGGGATCCTTAATGGCTCATGGATCTTCTCTTTCTCCAGGTTTTCAAAAGTTTCAGGAACAGCTCGATATTTATTCGAATTGGCGGTATGGGCTATGACGATGCTGCACACCCTGCAGCTACACATGGCTGTAGCTTATTACCCAATTCGGAACGTGATGCTACCCCAGTTCTTGGTCGGGATGCAAGACTCCACAAATGGCAGTGTTTCTCCACCAAGCGCTTTGTCGGCATATCTTGCCATTTAGCCTGAATATCAAGAGTGGAATGACGGGGAGATGAGTATTTTGGCGGGCAAAAGACGGGAAGGCGCCCTTGGCTTTCTTTTTGTTTCCAGCTAATTTCTTTTGTCCGTGCTAAACTGTTTTGTTTAGTTGGTTTTGTTTTAGTCTGTGGTTTGACAGCTGTGGCCCATGTTCCTTGCCGATCAGCATTTCTGATGAATGAATAGCCGGGCCTTGGATCGTTTACGTCTACGTTTTTGGGACTTTCTTTTTAGCCAGTACTTCCGAGAGGTTCTCGGTTTTTGTTATTGCTGGTTACCGGCTAAGTAGACAAAAGCGGGGGAGAAGCAGGTTATTCTGGAGGTGCCGGGATTGCGATCACGCCAGAAGCGAGAGTAACCGTGTGGTCAGCATGGCCTGGGGAAAGTGCGGAGTAATGGGGATGCTACGATGTTTTTGTGTGATGTATCGCGCAATGGAGGACAGTATACACAGTTTCGGCAATGAGAATTGTTGTTGCAGGTCTATGATGATACTTCACTTGATGTTTATACTGTGGCTGGATAGAGACGAAACCAGCTTATTTTTAGTATCAATTGGTTCTGTCTTGTTGAAGAATTAATTGTTTCGTTATTCTTTGAAACTTTTGATTCAATTTACAATTCTTCCGTATATCAAAACGCGGATTCCTCCGCATTTTGAAGACTACAAGTCATAAATAGATTCAAAGTTTGCAAATGGGTGGAGAAAAACGTGGTATGGTTTCATACGATGCACCCTTATTGCATTACCTTGACAAAGAGCTGAAGCGTCCAGGCATCGTCCAAGTCTAGAAGCAGTGATCACCAAGTTTAACTAGGAAACTAGAAGTAGAGAAACTGGCAAGTCAACTTCTGCAGTTCCGTATCATCCGGGATTATCCTCAATCAACACTTATGTAAGACCAAACAGTCAACACCACAGCATCCAGCCTCGCCTCTTGCCGGCTAAAGTACCAACCTATGACAACAAGGCGGAATAATCCTACTTGCGGTCAACATGTTCCCTGCTCCTTCAATCCCTGATCCTTCCCTGTGATGTGCTGCTGAAAGTTAACGAATTATTGCTTTCCAGCCTTGCCAGACTGTCTAGACCGTCAAAAGTACCTTCAGCCCTTCCATTTGCCCATTTTATGTGCAGAGTCATGCCAATAGCGTTGAACTTCCCCTCAGACGCTGTGGAGGATTCCCATCCGGTTAATGGTTAATATGAACATGCGGCCAAGCCAGACTAGTTACTCCAAGAAACTACAGTCTTGACTCCAATGCCGGCTTCTTTCCCGCCCTAGACAAACTTGTGCCTGAGCCCTAAGCTGCATACAGAAACGGACATACGGAAAACTCCAACCTGACAAGTCAACCCGCATAAGATGCGGATCTGTGGCTTGGGGTTCCCCGCCGGCCCGAATGCCACTTTCAGCGCGCCTTTCCACTTCTGGTCTACAAGATCTGGGGCGCCGGCTGAATTGTTCCTGGGCTGGGACTTTAGTTTTGTAGCCCGCACTGGCGCCAAGATGGGATGGGCAGTCATTCCACCGATTGATCATGGGGTGCAAATTTAGGGTCGTGCTGGTTGGAATTTGCATTTGCCCCGGCGGCGGCGAAAGGGCGCTTGATACTTGTATGTGATACCAAGTAATTCTAGAAATTTCATCATGGCAGCGAGTACCTGTACTTATAAGGACAGTACGGATTTGAGCTCATTTCTTCCATTCAGTTGCAAGCATGGCGTAGTTGATTAGGGCCAGTTATGGCCGTTGTGTATTAGCCGAGAAAAGTACACACTTAGGATAATATTCTAAAGTCACAGCATTAACTACATATGGCACCTCTTCAATTGTCTTGTCAATCGCGCTATTGAAAAAGGATCAAATGCTGCGTGCTTGGTAAGTAGTCGTTTGCTTCCTCTCTGAAAATCAGCCACTACACCTCATATTGAACAATAATGAAGATGCATGTTTGACAATGATATATTACTATGGGCTCCAAAAAAAGAAAAAAAAAGGGCAAAAAACAAGACGGCGTTACCAGTGGGAGTGCAGCTTGTTTATAGCTTGGGAGATTTTTAACTTGGTGTGCTGCTGTTTAGGGTATGCTACTAGAGCACCTAGCATCCATCACCTTTATTTTGACGATGTGAATGTTCAATCTGCCTTGGTCAATTTGTTTCCCCAAGGTCTTTTTTTAATGATGGTGTGTCATCTAATCTGGGTCAATTATCGCCTTTGACGCGTTGACTATCACGGGACTGAAGAACAGAGCTGTAGCCATGTCGGCTTTGCCTAGTATCTAAAATGAATATAGAAAGAACTGTGAAGCTTGGATTCGCACCCATACACTCTCGTAAAAATGTCAGACAACTATTGAACATCTGTCCATCATGCTCATAGCAGTGTTGATAAATACCTGAACATTGTCTTGGACAAGGTCGACTTGGCAACGGCATCCACCTTGGCCCGATTCCTTGCTGTAAGATACTGGTTAGTTTGTTAGGATTCCTGGACTGCAAGAGCCATAAAAGGAACCCAGGCAGTCAAAGTTTGTGCATGGCATCATGCAAATCGCGATGGATACATGTATGCACCCTCCCTCGACTCGCGGCCGTAAACTTTAATTCTGAAAAGGATAGAGTTTCATTGTGGCCAGCCCTCGGGCGAACCGCCATACCGGGAGACTCTCTGATTGGTTGATAACTCAGAGAAGCTAAGCCAATAGTCGATAGTTGACGTGACTCTCCATCCAGTTTGCTGTATGAGTACGATGCGCGTACCGATTTATTTAGCCTCGATTGCACCGTATAAGCTCCCAGCTGTATAAGTCAGCCTCCCCTGTGGGGGAAAAAAAAGAGAGACCAACAGTAGAATTGACAAGTTCTATTGTTACAGTTGCTCTAAACATATGCCTGGTACAAATGGCATGTTGAATCCATGCTGCCAGGTAAATCAGGTAAAGACATTTGACGGAAATATCACTGACCAAGACATTGTGCCTGATTGATCTTTAACGATTCAATGTTGATTAGTGCTCAAAGCTTCCGCGGTTCAGCCTAGCTTAACTGTATTTAGACCTAGCTATTTAAATTATGTAGATTTGCTCTGACACTCCCAAAACTTCAAATACCTTTCCACAGCACCGTCTTCGTGCTCCCCTCGAATCTTTTCAAGCCACTCTTCATCAGGCTGTTGCTGTAAGTGACAATCAGGTGTAGCCCCCGCTTGTAGTAGAATCTCAACAATATCCCAATAGCCGCTGATGATGGCAGCATTCAAGGCACTGCCATATTCTCCGCCTGCCGCATTAACATTGGCCTTTTTATCCAGCAATAGTTTGACTGATTCGGCCTGGCCCGAAAACGCGGCTGCCTGAAGTGCCGAGCCGAATCTTCCGCCTTGAGCATTGACGTCAATATCGGGGCAGTGTTCAAGTAGCAACTTTGTTTTGCCAGAGGTCATATCAATGTCCTTGACAGTCCACAGCAAACGCCTGTCCGCACACGTCGCTTGGAGCGGGAAACCAAAGTCCCCGCCCATGATATTGATATTGGCTCCGTGGTCGAGTAACCAGCTGATGCTGGGATGCAATTCGCTGTCGTCGTCGAGATACCAGTCTTTGATGATGGTATTCAGAGCGGTACCTTGCTCTTTATGCACATGATTGATGTCGATGTGGTGAGTATAGAAAAGCTGGACTATAGGAAGCATGTCTTTCTGTCCATCTACCCAGCGTAATCGCTGAGCGGCCTTGTGCCAGGCAGCACAGTCCTGATGGAATATATCGGCGCCATTATCAATCAATAATTTCACCAAAAAAAGGTCTCCATATTGGCAAGCAAGCGTAAGAGGCGTTTGGCCATCTTGGTCTTTGGCATTTGCATCAGCGCCCCCTTTGAGCAGTAATTCCACCGACGATTTTATAGCTTCGCTGCTCAATTGTGAACAAGCCTTCATGAGAGCTGTCTGGCCCCGTGGGCCTTTAGCATTCACATCAGCGCCACGGTTGATCAGCAGCCTCACCAATCCAACGTGTCCACGACTGCAGGCAGCTATGAGTGCTGTTCCGTACAGGCCCCCTTGTGCGTTGACATCAGCGCCATTACCCAGCAGTAGACGTACACTTTCCAGGCCCATCTCGAGATTGCCACAGGCGGCAGCAAGTATAGTACCGTAGTGTCCCCCTTCTGCAGTGATATCCGCCCCGTGTTCAAGCAGCAAGCGGAGCAGCTCCACGTCGACATCTGGATTGACGCAGACAGCCTGGAAGACAGTTCCGTACTTTCCGCCCCTTTTGTTGATCTCGGCGCCTCGGTCCAAGAGCAGACGTACAATCTCCAGCATGAGCTCCCTTTCACGTGCAGGTGAAAACATGTACGGTTTGTCGTGTGAATAGTTCCTGTTACGCTCAGAGGACCAGCTGGAAGTGACTGCGGCTTGCAGAGGCGTGCCGAACGTACCGCCTGCTGCATTCACATCAGCACCGTTATCGAGCAGTAAACGAACTGTCTCGACTGTACCCTCATGACAGGCAACATGCAATGCCGTCCCCCAGCCTGCCTCACTGAGTTGGCCAACATCGGCCCCCTTATCCAAAAACAGCTCCATCAACTCGCCCGTTTCAGGCTCTGTCGACGCTGCCAGCGCATGGAATGCTGTTCCGCACTCCCCTCCTTGAATATTCACATCGGCGCCGTGGTCAATGAGCAGTCGTATGTTCTGCACTACAACGGACGTGCCATCGCCCCCAGCCTTCTCCAACTTGGTGCAACGGGGGACACTGCCAGAGAGGGTGCCGGGGGAAAGAACGGCGCATGCAGCTTGAAGTGCTGTCCCAAATCTCCCACCCCGGGCGTTGGGGTCTGCGCCCCGTTGCAAAAGAATCTCTATAAATCGGGTTGCGTGGTCCTGTCTCAGTAAAGATGCTTCTTGGAGAGGCGTGCCTGAGCGCTCGTGTACAGCGTTTACGTCGGCACCTCTTTCCAGAAGGCGTTCAAACAATGCTTGGTTGCCCCTGTAAACTGCCTCGTGAAGCACTGTCCCGACATGGTCGCGTTGCATATTTATATTGGCGCCTCTATCAAGGAGGTCCTTGATGGCTTTTTCATCTGATAGTGCAGGTATACCCTTGTTGCTTAGATGGCCAGTTTCCATGGCTAGGTGTTTCTCAAGAAGCTCCAGAACATGAAGATGCCCTTGTCTCATGGCGGCCTCTAGGCTCGTACCACATGTCCCAGAGACGTCCACGCCCGCACCCGCTTTCAGAAGAAACTGCATCATGTCTGTGTTGCCTTGATCGGCGGCGGCTGAAAGGGCCCTACCCAAGTCATGTTGCGTAATATACCTGTTGACACCTTTAGAAATCAAGACTTCTGTCAACCGGCAGAGGCCGCGCAACGCGGTGTAGCAATATGGCCTTGACAGTAGATTTTGCTCATTCTCTCGGCCAGAATATGAGTCAAGGCGGAGCAGAGTGAGCAAGCTTTGGCTATTCGCAGCAAGCAGAGGTATCGCTTCCTGTGCAATCTCGGGTGATTCATGTAGAATCTCCTCGAGATGGACCATGCCGTAATTACCTACATAGTCTGCCAAGTGATATGAGTGGACTGGGGGTCTGAAGTATGAGGGTTTAAAGTAAACGCCTTTGGCATATTGAGACGTGAGGCGTTTGAGGTAGACGAGGCACGAGCGAACAATAGACAGATGGCCATCGACCTCGTTGAACGAGAACACCGAGGAAGAGCTTTCTAGTACTCTTGTAGAAGTCAAGTATTCCTTTAAAGAAAAGTGTACCAGCCGGACTGTAGATATGGAGGGATCGCTCTCCCTGGGATCGTCTCTCTCAATGACTATCAGGCCAGAGAAATACTTGAGAATGTCCGTACAGGAGAAAGGGCGTTCTGTCTCATCAAAAGCATCGCCATCTGAGCTCGTAGTAAAAATGGTAAAAATCTCAGAGAGCTCTTTAATGCTCAAGAGCCTCCTTGAAAAGGCAAGCCATTTTAGAGAGCCCAAAACCTGACGTTGGAAATCAGAATCAATAGATTGCAGAATCCTGTCGTAGGTTGCATCAAGCCCAATAGGAAGGTCTTGAAGAGCCTTGCGTATCTGAGGCGTAGAGGAAAGCTTTTGAAGTAATTCGAATTGAAGACGAACGTATTGATACCTTTATAAGTTGTTAATAGCCCTGTTCATGTAACACCGTAACTATAAGAACGTACATGCAGTCTGCTTTCTCCATGAGTGACTCTTTCACCTCTTCTTTGACAATCTGTGGCCAGGAATTAAAATAGTCAGTCGCCAACCTTGTGTCGATATAATGGCCAATGTCACGCTTGAGCGTCACCCAATAGACTAGCAGATCAATTTCAAGCCGTGACGGTGGATTAAGAAAAGGGCGTATTTTTTTATCAATGTCTTGTTCTTTGCGGCTGGTTAAAAAGATATGAAGATTGTTAGGGGCGTTGTCAAGAATACGCGCTAAACTCTTTAATAGTTTTTCTCGTTGGTCGTTGAGCAAAGGACACTCATCTAGAGCGTCAATAACAATGTAAACATTCGAGAAGCTCGATATGGATTTCAGTAGCATCTGCTCGAGTGTCTGGGTATCCGGGCGCTCCCCTCTTCTCTTGTGCTCACGGAAACGTTGAACAAGCAAGAAGTCTTTATACGACTGGGAACAAATTTGCTTAACCAGAGACGCAAGCATCCCATCTACTTTTTGCTTTTGGACATCGCTAAAGCTAAAGTAAAAGTAGGCAAGCGCTGTCGAGGGCGATGATTCTGAGGCGTACTGATCTCGCAGGTATTTAATGACTGACGAAGTTAGGATTGACTTTCCAGAGCCAGCTATAGATGGGTCGTCAGTGAGACATTCGGCAGGCAAGCCATGGCTATCGATTTTGATCAAGATTCCAACATGCCTTTCCCGTGAAGCCATAATAATGACTTTTGCTCCGTCTCCCAACGCTTGAATGCTTTGCTATCCCTTAGTAGCCATTCATTCGTACCAGTCTCATGCCTGTCGCGTGCGGCATTATACATGGAAGAGGGATCAATATCACAAAGCCAATGTAACAAGGCTTCGTATTCTTCTTTTGTCGCACTGTCAAACACCTTTTGCGATACGGAAAGCTGAGCAGATAACGTGTCTATAGTCGATTGCTGCAGTCTTTCAGCGGCTAGGCGTTCCTCATAACGCTGCATGTCGCGCCACTTCTCTTCAATAGCGGCAAAGTTACTCTCTTGATCGCGAAGCTCGTTTACCAACTGCTCCCAAGAATTCCACTTGATGGAATCTTGAGCGAATCGGAGAGCAGACAGATTGGTATAGTAGCAATAGACTGTGGCCTGGAATCTCAGGATCTGCCTGTAGAGCTTCTCCAAGGCGGTTTTGTACTGGCTATGAGATTGTCGAAAATTTTCACGGTTCCCGGCTCTTGACTCATAGCACTCAACGTAGAGTTCTTCTCTCATCCGGCTTTGAGTAATAAGAGACGTGATGTAATCTAGCCCTTTCGCTAGGGCTTCCCTCTGTTCTGAAGGATTCAGTAAAAGCTATAGTAGAGTAAATGTAAGTTGATGAAATACCTATACATCTCTCATAACAACTCACCGGCAGAATAAGACTAACACCAGTCCAAGCTATCGAAGTATATGGGTTGGCGCTTGCAGCGCCGCTGATATAGTCGTTGGCTGAATCCACAACTTTGAGGAAGAGCTGCCTGAAATCGTCCACTCCAGCGACACCTGAAGCATTTTTATTGATCTCGGCCATCTTGATTCTTAGAATAGCCTCCATCTCGTCTCTCTTATTTGCGTTGAAAGAAGGATTTTGAATCAAGCTGTCGGGCACACTCTTTCTGAGTCCGGCTTCGTAGTTTTTAATGAGTACGCCATCTTCTTCTTGCAGTTTCTCGTATGCTACCTTCCACAGCTCACGAATTGGCGTATTCTCAGTCAAGAGGGAAGGGTTGGGTCTATTGATGCCACCACTTGGCCCATCATTTCCATCGAGCGGCTTATTCGCCTCTGTTTCTTGCTGACATTCTTGAATTTGCGGTGTAATTCTAGAATCAGGTATGCCTGTTTTATTCTTGGATCGAAGACGCGACAGAATCTTTTTCATTGTAGCGATGGATATGAATATTTCTGTTGATGAACCAAAGTATGAGGGGAAAGAGAATGCCGCAAGGCACTGATGATGCCGAAGCATGGGTAAATGTAATCAATTTAGCTTAGGCATAGTAATTGAACAATGAACACACCTGCAACGATTATTGGACAATAATATGCTAAAGGCAGCCAATCGCGAAGCAGACTCACATTTTACAGAGATGACGTATGCACGAATAATACCCAGTCAGATTGCAATTATTTCTTTTGCATACGCTATTGTACATGAAAATTGCCCGACGTCAATTAACGCGGTGCCTTGGTGAACAATCATCTTGCTCAAATATGGCAACATTCCGCTTACTCATCTGTCAAAAGTTTTGTTTTATTTTTCCCTGTGCGCATACTCAAATTACGTGTCTTGTGGCTCTGTCAGCAAACAATGGTCGAAGTGCAGCTCGTTCAAGTATATTAAAGGACATATTGACATGCATTTCCAATTTGTCATTCTTTGTAGAGGATTTAGACAGCCAGCTGCTTACAACAGTGAAAGTGTCAAGACTGAGTAAGCGTACACTTATAGGGACTCGGCGCTTAAATAACGGCTCCTTGATGGAACTCTTGGTAATAGCAAACTTGGTCAATGTCTTGAATCTTGCGTCGCTATCGCCTGCCTCATTTGCGGCGTGTCCAGGGTATTTTGCGGGGCAACATTCTGTATTTCCCCCTAGCTGAAATCTCCATAAACTTACCAATCTTGGAGTTGTGGAGGGGTTATCGAACCATGGGCCTCCTAAAGTTGCATTCGTAGTGCCGTAGGTTCTTGCATCTCTCTATTGTCAATGGCTCTGTACTTTAAGTCGCTGTTGTCAAACATGGAAAACAAAAAACATCTGGGGGCCTAGGCATAGAGACTGCTTATATAGAGTTGACTTTAGTGGCTCTTGGGTTGGCTTTAGGGTTAGATCACATATGTGGCGCACATTGGTTTGTGTCTGTACCTCGAACTGGAGAGGCTTAACAAACGCCAGGAACGGCTCAAAGGGCGCCAGGCAGTAAGCCAACATTTTCAGTGTCAAACCCTGACCCAAACGGCAACTTTCTGCTTGCTGTCTTGTTTCTGGCAAAGCCACAATACGCTCTACCTCATCTTGAATTTGACTTCACGCCTCAGTCTTTCCCAATATAATCAGATTAATGCCATGATTAAAAGTGGCTTGTTGACTAATGAGATAGTTAAATCTGTTCGCTGCTGTGACCGCCACACAGTTCAACGTCGACGATTAAAGATACAAGGCCTTCCACCAAAGAAAGCGTCTGCGACCCCATCAAACCCTCTGATCCGTGTCGGCCAAAGTAGTTACATCACACCATACATGCAAGAGATACTACATAAGCACCTGCTATTGCAGCCAGATATGTTCCAATGTGAAATAACCGCTTTCCTACATAACAAGTCCATACCTAGTGGAATAGCCTATATGTATAGAGAGAGAAATTACGGGCATGCTATTATATAGTCTTGTTTTTCATCTTATACACCCACTTCTTGACATTATGAACCCAGGATTCTACAATGCCCGGTAAAATACCGGCATTGACAAGGATTTTAACACATGGTTGCTGACACATGTACATATACTTGAGATCGAGACCTTGTTGAAATGTGAATGTGACTGCCCTTTGAATGCTCGCTTTCCAGAAATCACTGCTAACCCGAGCACAGTGGAATATACCATACTGCTTTATTGCATTATCTCTTGGTTTAGGAATGTCCCACTCATTCACGTTAATGTCCTTAAGTGCCCCTGTAAGAGCTATGGCTGACGCTTGATTGGAGGGACCAGGTAAGATGCTGGTAATGTAAGACACGAAGCCGCGACTAACGGCCTATTTCATCCGAGTCCGCACTTACACTTCATGATCAAGGCGCACATCGGTAGAACTTGAAAGTCCTCCAAGGAAGTTCCATCTCATTCTACAGCAGTACAGAAGAAGAGGACAAGCTTAGCGCCATCATTTGAGTATCATACATTATGAACTAGTCTATTTTTGAACTTGTGTGGCTGTGTGCTTCTGTGGGTAATGTACATGCTTGTCAGCCTAAGCAATCAGATGATGCCTTGGAAACAAGGTTTGGAAATAACTCATCGTCTGGGCTTCCATAAAGTGCACCCATGTTTGTGGATCGCATCATCTCATTGATACTGATGTAATGAAATCAAGGGGTAAAAGAACGCTAGGAACGGGCCGTTCTATATCGGATTAGTATCTCCCTACTAGCGAGCTGGTCATCCGATCTATAGGTAGCTTTTCTATTGAATAGACGACTCTGGCAAAAGTTGAAGTGATCACTTCTCTCTGCCTAGTGATGTACTAATACATAAGGTATCCTAGTTCTTCCAACATTCCAACTACTCAGTAGTCACTCTTGTGCCTCTTTTGTCGTCGATTGTCTACTTAGGTATTACTACTCTAGGCCATCATTGGTTGCGACCAATTTCAGCCCCACGAAGCAGCCTGGCGCCTTATTGCTTTCCCCCGCTTCTTGTAGTTTCTTAATACCCCTCTTTCTCGTTCATCATTATCCCATTCTCTACCTGCTTGACATGCCATGGGCGCCGCATTGACTGATAGCCGAGTCTGTGAACACGAGTAAGATTACGAAAGGTTCATGATTCAGATATTACGTGGCGCCAGTCACGAGACGCCGGAAGATGACCTCCTATCCACCCTACGAGGAGTTGGCAACGCCGAGCGCTATTAATACACCCCAAGTACCTATTACTACTACCTCTCGTCTACAAAACGACCCCTCTCAGGCGGTTACCAGGCAAAAGAACCTTGTTTTTCGCGTTACTGGCCTCCCCGCCTCGCAAACGAACGATGCGCTGGTGGATTTTATCCGCGACAACCTGTTAAAGGGTGAAGAAAAGTCACAGTTCAAAGCCACCGCAAGCATCGTGCCGTCTTGCTCCAACAATGGGCAGGAGAGGGTTGCGTTAGTAGAGTTTGACGGCAGAGTTCCTAATTTCTTGTCCGAGCTAGTCGCGGACCCTCTGAAAGACAGGCAGGCTGAGATGGGTGATGTGGATATTAATTTTGACCAACATTTTTTTGGGTTTACACAGCTCTACACCCCTAAAGCAGATAAACCAGTTACCGCAGAGTATGTAACAGTTCTTTCATGGTGCAAACTGCTCTTGTTGTTCCTGCGCGCAGCCCTAATGCTAATCCACTGGGTCGTAGTATAATCGCCATCACCGGTCTCGATGGACATGCATATGGCTCATGGAGGGGTAAAGGAACCCTTGAGCGGATGTGGTTACGCCATTTTCTGTCTCGAGACCTGCCCTACTGTCGCACAATGACTTATGGCTATAACTCGAAGCTTTCAACCCGTGGAACCGACACCATCATGGATTATAGCCGGGGGCTAATGGAGGCACTCAGGAAAATCCGGGATACAAAGGAGGTAAGCTCTGTTGTCACATGCTGTCACAAGAGCACGAATATGAGGCTAATAATTGCACCGCTCTAGCTAAGGCAACGACCACTCTTCTTTATTGCGCACAGCTTTGGCGGTATTATACTTGCTCATGTACGTTATCCGTTGTGGCTCACATGTAAAAAGCTCAATAGCAGTATAGTGCCTTGTAAAGGCGGTTCAAACAAACGAAGATGATGACCCAACGATTGCAACGCTCCACAAAGCTACATACGGAATGCTTCTCTTTGGGATTCCTCATAAAGGACTATTGGTAAATGATATCGAAAAGATGCTGGCTGGTCAAGATAACCACCCGCGGAGCGCGCTGCTTCAGCAGATCGGAGGTAAGTCCGACTTGCTCGAGAATCAGCTGGCCGATTTCAAGAATCTGGTCCAAGACCGGAAGATTGTAAGCTTCTACGAAACAGGGCAGACTAGGCAGCTTCGATTTGTAAGATAATATGGTATACATAGCACCTAGGAGATGGCTGACAATAGGAATAGGACAGCGGCAGCCAACGCTGGGAAAGAACTGGCGACTTCATTACCAAGCTGGACAAAGACTCGGCTCTTCTTCAACTCCCCGATGTCATGGAGGACAAGATCCCCCTAAACGCGGATCATTCAATGATGGTGAAGTTTAGTAATAGATCTGAGGAAGGGTATACCAGTGCGCTGCGTAAGCTTCGACAGTTTGAGGAGGAGGCTTCTAAGGTGGTGAAGGCTCGCTTTTGTAAGTAGCTTCAGTGCTTCTCGCCGGTTCCATGTCAATTGAAGACGGTCTTATTCAATCATCCTTGTGCTTGAGCTTAGCTAATATCAACTTGTAGCGCGAATCCAACAGACTTCGACCGTGAAATGTAGGTTTAAATGCTAGTCGCAATATCTACCAAGACTAACCAAGAGTTTAGATCTTTTGCCTTATACAAGCAACCCGAATTTTGTAGGACGCACAGAAATCCTTGAAAAATTGAAGGACCAGCTGGTACATACGCAACAGGCGTGTAGAACATCTCAAGCAAGAGCATCATTATATGGCTTAGGCGGGACTGGGTGAGTTATTAAACCTTCTGGTTTATATCATATGTTGACAGGGGATAGTAAAACGCAAATCGCATTAAGATATGCATTCCAACTACAAGAAACACACCCTACGGTTTCCATTTTCTGGATTCATGCTAGCAGTGCCGCCCAATTTCGCCAAGCGTTTGAATCTATCGCAAAAGCGTACGACATCCCTGGCTACGCGGAACCCAAGGTTGATATGCTCTTAGTGGTCAAACATTGGTTGGAGGAGAAGGACCACGGAGAGTGGTTCATGATCATTGACAACGCAGATGATATTCAGCTTTTTTTTGGCCGGCCTGCGGGTACTGTTACAATCGAGGCGAAGGATGACAAGAATCTGGCTCGATATTTGCCTGAATGTGCCCACGGTACAATTCTCATCACGACAAGAAACAAGCAGGTGGGAGTTAGGATGACCAAAGGACAGCAGCCGTTAGAAGTGCTTCGAATGAATGGGGAGGAGTCAGTACAACTCCTCCGTGCGAAGCTCGGAGACATCAACACAACCAGTACTGACTTGTCAACGCTCTCTTCTCACTTAGAACACCTGCCGCTAGCGCTGGTTCAGGCTGCTGCTTATATTCAAGAAAGGTGCATAACAGTGCACAAGTACCTTCAACTACTAAGCAATAGCGACATAAACATCATGCACCTGCTAAGCAGGGATTTCAAGACAGTGGGCCAAGACACAGAAGCTCCCCAGGCAGTAGCGCAAACATGGATGCTTTCGTTCCAGCAGATCCAGCAGCAGCACGTCTTAGCCAGCGAACTCCTCTCCTTCATGAGTATGCTCGATCGACACGCGATCCCGGCTCAGTTTATGTCGTGTTATGTCGAGCAAGCAGGGAATGGGGTCCCGCGAGGCGAAATAGAGCTTACAGAAGCGCTGGGTATCCTCAAGGCCTTCTCGTTCGTGACGGAGGAGACTAGTGGCAGCTTCGATATGCATCGGCTTGTACAGCTGGTCACGCGGAAGTGGCTGACCAGCAAGGGGACAATTAGTCAATTCAGCACAGAAACACTCATGATGGTATCGAAAATGTATCCCAATGGCGAATACGAAACCCGAACAAAATGCTCCGCATACCTATCGCATGCAAACGCTGTGTTACAGTTAGATGGGTTGACATCAAGAGATGAGAACAAAGCAAGGGCATCTCTTCTCCATTGTATTGCTGCATACTTTGACTTTGAGGGCAAATGGAGTCAAGCGGAGATGTTCAATATAGAGGCGAGAGATATACGAAGAGAGTTATTTGGACATGATCATCCAGATACACTAACTAGCATGGCCAATCTTGCATCAACATACCGGAAACAGGGCCGAAGGAAAGAGGCCGAAGATCTAGATGTGCAAGTGATGGAGACTCGCAAGATGAAGCTAGGCACAGATCATCTAGATACACTAAGCAGCATGAACAATCTGGCATCAACATACTGGAACCAGGGCCGATGGAAAGAGGCCGAAGATCTGCAGGTGCAAGTAATAGAGACTTACAAGATGAAGCTAGGCGCAGATCATCCTTCTACACTAACCAGCATGGCCAACCTTGCATCAACATACTGGGAGCAAGGTCAATGGAAAAAGGCCGAAGATCTGCAGGTGCAAGTAACAGAGACTTACAAGATAAAGCTAGGCGCAGATCATCCAGATACACTAACCATCATGGCCAACCTTGCATCAACATACTGGAACCAGGGCCGATGGAAAGAGGCCGAAGATCTTCAGGTGCAAGTAATAGAGACTCGCAAGATGAAGCTAGGCGCAGATCATCCATATACACTAATCAGCATGGCCAATCTGGCTCACACTTGGAAAAGTCAAGGTCGACATGATGATGCCCTGGCTTTAATGGAGACCTGTGTTCAAACTCGACATCAAGTCATAGGTCCCATGCATCCTGATACGATCATGTCTCAATCGATCGTAGAGAAGTGGAGAATTTAGGTTGTGTTTTGGAGTCTTGCATCAATCTCCCGCCTTAGTCAACCCCCCTATGCAGCAATACAAGGGTATAATTCTGCTAGTCCAGTCGCCTGGTGCTTTTATTTGGGTGCAAATTATTTATGGTCTTATGGTGGGAGGAATCTCCGTTGCTTGCACAGGTAGATCATATCAATCGATCAGCTTCCATCAAGAGGTTAGCCACGTGCACTATCACGCGATATAGTCATTTAGAAGTAATTTGGTATGCTTTGGGTCATTCTTCTAAGACAATCTTCCCCCTTTGGCACTTTTGGTTACTTGTTATATTGTTTTGTGCAAAAACAGCTTCCTCTTTCTTCAAAACCTTCAAAATACAGCCTATGCCAACACCATTATTTTGTACAAAAAAGGTCTGTAGAGCATATCACCTGTGAGGAAAATCTACATGCCTATTTTCAGCTTCGCAAACCGGTGGACTTTTAGAGTTATTTGCAATGTTATATCGAAGAAAAATGCTAATTATTGTACTCGACCGATCCGTTCTACCGTTAGACCAAACAGGGCAAAAGGATTCGGCCAATAACCACTATTATAGTGATATGTAACGGAACCAGCTGCCTATAAGGGAATCAATCGTTTACGAGGGACTGTGAATAAGTATTGAGATGTTCTTGAAGGACTCTTCCCTGCCAAGACATTACAAACTCTAGAATTATTGTAAACAGCTGTGTGGGTGATTAGTCAAGCGAAGAAGGGACTAGGAGTTGACTTTCGGACGGTTTATATCTGCTATTTCTCGATTTTCAACGCCCCGCGTCACCTTCCGGAAAGCACATCATGTAACAAATCGTGTTGGGCTTGGGAAATTGACATTGCGATTCGTTGTGCTGGCGTACATAGCATTTGGGTCATGATGTGCATGACCGTCCATAAGCTATACCATTAGCCAAAACCGGAGGGGCAGAAATGTTAATGCCTTCGACAGTGATACTGTCCAATGCTTCAACTCGCACTGTAACAAGCAATAATCTCCCGTGGTCTATGCGGGGAAGTTCACTTAAGATTAGACAGCCGCAACACCGTTTATGATAATTGCTGTAGGATACACGTAATCTGTGAGGCTCTATAGTTGTAATGGAAATACCTTGCAATTCAATCACCATTTTACAGCTGAATTACATGCAACGTGATAAATAACGAGGAGCTGTTCTAGTATTCGTAACCTCTTACGAATCCTCCTCATTGTTGCCTACGCAAGCGTATTAGCTAACTTGGGGATACGATACCCGATCCACACGTTAAATGCCGCTAAGAGATCTGATCAGTGTAAAGCAACTTGTATATATTTACAACTCCCACACAATAATCAAGTCAAAGGCAAGCGAAACAATGACACAATCTTCGTCGGCCACAGCTACCGTCAAGGGGCCAAACGGCTCTCTCAATGTCGCCCTTGGAGAGGCAACTCCCGAGCAAATCCTCCCATGGTGCGGAATCGTCACCGCTGCTTTTGCGCCATCCTTCCCGAGCTCAGCCTTCTTTGCTCACGAAGAGTATCTCGCGCAGCATCCGCTGACTCTCAACCAAGGCACCCGTTTCTGGTGCATTTATCTGGCAGACGACCCGACAACTCTGCTCGCAGTTACCAAGACGGTACGCCGACAGTTCCTCGTCCGAGACAGCGAGTCTGTGCATGAAGAGACCGGTTACTGCATCGGCTATGTTGGCACCCATCCGGACTACAGACGGCTGGGACTTGCGTCGCTGCTCATCAAGCATGTTGCAGAATGGCTAGACGGTCCGGCTGATGCGACGGCGAGCATGCTCTATACCAGCGTTGGAGATGTAAGTATTGATAACTTGATGCGTAAGTTGCTTCATGCTAAAATTGTATAGTTCTATGTCGGCCAAGGCTGGGACATGATACCCTCGATGGTATCGAATATTACGCATCCCTCCGACGAATTCCAATCAGTAGACCGTAAAGGCCTTCCCAGCACCCGTCTTCTGACCGACAAGGAGATTCCGGCGCTGTGCGAGCGCGACGTGGCGGACTTGAAGCAGAATTTTGACGAGCTGACTGTTGGGCCAGATGAGGTGCATGTCGCCGTGATTCCATCAGCAGAAATGGTCAGCTGGCTGCACACCTGGGGCGACTTTCTCAACGACAAGCTGCGTGGTGGTGAAGGGCCGTATCCTCACGGCGCCATCTGCGAATCCGCCAATACCTGGATATACTGGCATTACGGATTCAAGCACCTGGCAATCGATAGAGTGGTTGGCCAGGGCTCTCCCGAAGTGCTGGCTGCTTTGCTGCTGGATGTTTTGGAGGAAGCCCGCAAGTGGAAGTTTCCCAAGGTTGTCGCCTGGGAACCAAGTCCTGAATTGATCAAAGCGATGGACCTCATTTCGAAGCGGGCTGGTGTTGAGGTGGAAACGGTGACGAGGCCAAACAGCATCACTTCGCTGAGATGGAAAAATGCAGACAAGACGAAGAAGACGACTCTTCATTTGAATGAGACTTATGCGTCGTGTTGAAGCCATAGACTAGATATTAAATTGATGCCCCAAATTGTATGATGCGGCGGACTTTTGAACAAGTACATTGGAAACTGAGACATGTTTGTCACTGTAGTTGTCCGCTTGCGTTCTTTGGCTTCTCAGCACTTTTTCTGTGATCAAGTCTCGCGCTATCAAAGACGAATGCTTGATAACTCGGCTCATCACAAAGAGCTCCAATTCATAATCCTTGATAATTGTGGCCATCTAAACAGGCCACAGCAGTGTTTTTAGTGTCTTATGGTGGATTGGGTGAGTTAGTGGCAGGGAAGACGGGAGTAAGCGACACCAGGGCGAAATAGCAAATATTTACAGAGTGTTTAGTGTTTCTGCTGAAGACTGTTTTTCATTGAAAGTATCTTTCTACACCGTGTCACATATTCTATATTTCTATATCGAATAGTCTTTGCCACGCCATCGAATAGGTAGGTTGAATTCCAAATCAAGATCGCCCCGCAACGCCTTCAACTAATCTCAACTCCCAGGCTTTAACCACAACCTGTACTAAACTTCAGTGGCTGTTTCTAGATTCTGACAGCGCCCACGTGGGAATTTAGCTACACCTGGGCATGGTATGACGTCCCCCACGACACGCCAGTTTGCTTGCCGTTTCAGCCGGCTCTCTTATAGGCCTATGAGCCTTGTTTAGACGGAAGACAGCGAATTGCTGCCGATTGGACGTTTCTTACACGTGGGATGCATTGCTGCATTGGCGATGATCTCGAACGAAAAGACGGCCGCTTGAGATGCAGGAACTTTTTAATGGCGCCGGGAATGCGGCACAAATATTACTGAACAAAGCTGTGATGGGTGAATAGCTTCAGAGATAAATAACAGCACGAATCTACAATTTACACACTGCCATAATTCCTAGCATCACGTACTCGCAATCATGTTCAAATTCAGCGGCTTCATCTCAACGGCGCTCATGGGCCGCCAGATCGCGGCTGCGGCTGTTCCCATGCACTCCTCTGCGTGGCCTCAATTGCGATTCACCCCAAAAGGCACTTTTCAAATGACAGTCTTTAACGACTTGCATTTTGGCGAGGCAGAAAACACAGACTGGGGCCCGCTGCAGGACGTGGATACGCTGCTGGTGATGAAGACGGTGCTGGATAAAGAGTCTCCCCAACTTGTGGTGATAAATGGAGATTTCATCACTGGCGAAAACACGTTCAAGAAGAATTCAACCGATTATGTCGACGAAATTGTGTCTCCCATTGTGGCTCGCAATCTTCCATGGGCATCGACATATGGCAGTGAGTACTTTCTGGCGATGGACTCGTGCAGCAGTAGCTCACCAATTGTAGATCACGACTCAGCTTACAATCTTTCCTCTGCCAACATATACGCGAGAGAAAAGACTTACAAGAATAGCTTAACAGGAGACATGGTTAAAGACAAAAATGCTGGAGTCTCCAATTACTACTTGGAGGTAATGTCTAACGATAAGCACGATTCTACTCCTGCTATGATTCTCTGGTTCTTTGACAGCCGAGGCGGGTAAGTCTCGCAACCGTGAAATCTCATGACTGTCACAACCAACTCATTTTGCATCACAGAAATTACTATCAGGAAGAGGAAAAAGATGGCTCAGATGTTGCTCGACCAAACTGGGTTGACGAAAGCGTTGTAGAGTGGTTCACAGCCACAAGAGCCCAGCTCGCCAAACGTTACAAGAAGACTCTGCCTTCATATGCCTTTGTCCATATTCCCGTCGGTGCCATGTATGGCTTCCAACAAACGGACGGCGTTGATGAGCACAAAGAGCCTGGAATCAACGCAGATAATCCGCTTTCTCAGCAGGGAGTTCAGTCTCCACTGTACAACGCTACCACCAGTTTTGAGTATACCGGCCAAGACAAGGCGTTTATGAAGGCTCTACTAGAAACTGAGAATCTCATGGGCGTCTTTAGCGGCCATGATCACGGCGATGACTGGTGCTTCAAGTGGACTGAAAACCTCACATTTTTGGACTTGACGGGCAACGGTCTCGTCTTCTGCTTCAGCCGTCACACTGGCTATGGAGGCTATGGCTCATGGACACGAGGATCTCGACAGATTCTTGTGGACATTAAAGATCTTGGCAAATCGACTAAAACTTGGACGCGACTTGAAGATGGAACCACTGTTGGAGCAGTAACGCTGAATTCGACTTATGGTAAGGATGTCTATCCTATTGTTCAGTTGACTTATACTAGCGAGGATAACGAGGGAGTTCCATCTACTGATTAATGTGTATTAATTGTAATATCAATGCTAGCTGATACGAAAAGAAAAGAAACACAAGTTACACCAAAACCGGATATCCCCTAGAAAAGAAATTCTCCGGATCATACTTCTTCTTCAGCTCTCTCAGCTTCCTCAAATTCTCCTTACCATAAGTGACTTCCCAGTCCGTATTCGAGCTGTGAATCAAATTTCCATACGACGCTCCAACATAAGCATCTCCCGTTGCTTTGATTCCTTCCACTGTCTTGGTAGCCGCCCCAATCTCAGCTTCGTCTCCCTCCTTCGTTCTCGTCAAATCCACGTGATGGGCGTAGGATGGAAATAGTCTGTGGCGATAGCGCAGATTGAAGCACGAGCCGGGATTTGGCTGGATGGCCTTTCCATGGACAACGTGGCTGGGGATGCCCATGAAAATCCTTGGGTCGTTCCATTGGTCCATCAGGACTGAAGCTATGCCCTCGGTGAGGCCTTTTGCTATGATTCCACGGTACTCAAAGGCCCCTGGCTGGATAGTCAACTCGGTCAAGAGAAAGGAAGCAAAATCCGCTGTTTCATCAAATGTTAGTAAATTTAATCATCATTAGTCGACGGCAAGAAACTCACATTCTCCAATACGGACAACATCTGCTCCAGGTAGAGACTTGATCTTCTCAAAGTAGTCCCACCCCCTTTGCAGATCATCGCCTTCCTTGGCACACCATGCAAACAAGACATTCATCTCTGGCGTTTCCAAGTCATTGTTCCTGAAATAAATGTCGCCTGCAAGTTCCTCTGGAAGATTGGGTTCAATGTTTTTCACCCATTCGGCCATCACAGCTGGCCAATCCTTCTTTGCAAACTTGACACTGCCAATCAAAAGCTTCGGTGCAGGATATGTTTTGATGGTAAACTGCGTCACAACTCCCCAGATGCCGTTTCCAGCGCCTCTCAGAGCCCAAAGTAAATCTTGGTGGTTGTTCTCGTCAGCCACCACCACAGATCCGTCAGCAAGAACAATCCGTACACCGAGGATGTGATCAACTCCAAGGCCGTACGAAGAGGCATACATGCCGTATCCACCCGCCATTGACCATCCGGCATATCCCAGTCTCGGATGCCATCCTACAGGTGTAAAAGCGCCTTGACTGCTAAGAGCAAGAGCAAGATCACCTGCAATAGTGCCGCCACCAATAACTGCAGACTTCTTGTCTTCCGCTACTTTGATGGAACACAAGCTGCGTGTATCAATCATGACTCCGCTTCCGATTCCGCGAAAGTTTCGTCCCTCCAGCTCTGCTCCTCCAGAGCGGATCGCGAATTGCAAGCCTGCCGCCTGAACTGCTTTAATGGTGGCTTGAACATGAGATTCTTCTAGGGCGCGAACCACGGCTAGGGGCCTGGTGGTGGTGCCTCTGTTGAATGAAGGGCTTATCGTCTCAAAGACGGGGTCTGACGCAGTGTAGATGATGTGCGGGAACTCATCGTAAAGTGACAAAAGACCTGGGATTTTCTTTGCAATATCATCTCGTGTAAGTGACGATGTCGGGATTTGGGTGTCCGGTAGCTCAGTGAGTTTGAACTCCATGTCGAAAGTTTTTAAGAAAAGAAAGATGTCAAATGGATAGTTGTAGATAGTCAAAAATCCTATTGTTTACACAAACTTTAGCCAAATAACGGCAATTCGCAGCGTTTATATAACAACTGGCTCAGCAAGAAACGCCATCCAGACGCCTGGAATGCGCAGTCAGCCGCCTTCCATATTAACTTTTCTCGGCGATAGGTGTTATAGTCTACATGTGCCTAGTATTGCTAGTGTTTCTCCCCATGGTTTATTCTCTTGTGGCGTGTCAACGTCAGCACTAACGCCTTACCAAGACAATTGCTGAGCTGAGGCAATATCCTATTGGCGCATTGATTCAATTAGTGCAAATGGCCTATAGCTTGACGGCGCGCGGACAGAGTAGGATAATACTCTATCACGCATACCGTCATATCAAAGTCGCCAGCTCGCTGCTGTATACTTTTCTTTGTAAGAAACAACCCACTTGAGCTCCTTTGCTGCCCTGTTTGACTTCTTATTAAGCTTATCGACTGTATTATGTGTGTATACGTCACGCGGTGAATGAAATCAAATAGGACAAGTGGTTCTAGGCCAGTGCGTTAAATAGAATTATGTCAGAGGATAGTCTTAGTGAGGAATAGGTGGAATTGGGCCGAAGCCTAATAGTACAAGCTAATCTATATTTTAAATTTTAGCCCCCTAGTATATACATGAATGATAGGACCGCGTATCTCGTCTATATGATCTGTAATGCTTTAGTATGATCCGTAATGCACCCGCTGCTTTTGTGATCTCGTCTGCCCATTGACGGCAGTTCTTGATATATCCCGCAACTTCAGTTCGTAAATCCATTCTAGCTTACACCTCCGCCACAGCGACTTCTTTCGCTTCTGGATCCGTCGGGGCTGGCTTCGCTCCCGCCTGATCACTCTTGGCACGAGCCTTCAAGCTGCGCCATTCCACAAAGAAGCAGCCAAAGATGGTTGCCGCGGATGTTCCAGCCATCATGTAGAAAATAACCATGATGGCGTTGTTGTAATCAACCAGAAGCGTCGGCAGGTAGCTCGCCGGGACCAAATTCTTTAGGTCTGTGGCGCCCGCGTTAGCCACTTCGCTGGGGTCGACGTTTGGAATATTGGAGCCGACTCTCGAGCTCAAGCCGCTGATGAAGATGTTTTGTGCAACTGGCAAGAAGATGGATGAGCCTAGGAAACGAAGAAACATGACAAGGGCGGACCCGGTTGCGATGTCTGGTCTATCCAGGATCGTCTGCACGACGTTGAGGGGTTGCTGGTTGCCGAACCCAAGCCCCAGCCCAAAGAGGACCTGGTAGCCAATCCATTTGGAGTGGCCAGTCTCGGGAGTAAGCGTCGACAAGAGCCCTGCTCCAATCGGCATCATGATTGAGCTGATGTAGAAAAACGGGGTGTAGTGGCCAATCTTGGAAATGGCAATTCCTGATCCCATCGAAGAAACAACCACCGAGAGAATCGTGGGCAGCAGCATGAGGCCAGAGTTGATGGCGTCAACGCCCTTGATTGCCTGGAACCAGATGGGAAGATAATACGTGGCGACCATCATGCTGGCGCCGCTCCAGAAGGTGAACCAGAGGGACCCGATGATGCTGCGCTGCTTGACGATACGAGGGGGGACTGTTGCAGCCTCGCCCTTCCAGATCTGGATGCCAATGAATATGGAAACAAAGACGCCGCAGATGACAAAGAGGGCAATGACGCGGCCATTGCTCCAGGGGTATGTGGTGCCTCCCCACTGCAGAGCCAGAATCAAGCAGATGATGCCGGGGAAAAAGGCGAGGTTGCCAATCGGGTCGAGCTGCTGAACTTTACCGAGCAATGTTGCTGCAGGTGTTTCAAGCTTCTGGTTGGGCATATGGAGGATCAAGGTTGTGACAATGAGCGTCACCGCACCAATCGGCAGGTTGATATAGAAGCACCATCTCCACGTCACCTTGTCTGTAAAGGTGCCTCCAACAACGGGTCCTATGACAGAGGCAAGCGCAAAGACGGCTCCGAAAAGGCCCTGGTAGATGGGTCTCTGCTGCAGCGGAATGGTGTTGAACAAGACGACCATGATGCCGGAGAATATGCCCGAAGCTCCTAGACCAGCGATGGCACGGCCGACAATGAAGGCTGCTGAGCTGGGGGCTGCACCACAAACGGCGGATCCAACTTCAAAGAGAACAATGCCGACAAGTAAGATTGGTTTTGTAGGATAGTATTTGTAGACCTTTCCCATGACGAGCTGGAAGCTGCACTGGGTAAGTAAATAGGCCGAGCCATACCATCCTACATCGTTGAGAGAATGGAACTCGTCTGTGATTCGGGGAATGGCGGTCGAAATGATGTTTGTGTCCTATAATTAGAAAAAGAAAAGAAGATGTAAATTAGCATCATGTTGACTTGTTCAATGCGTTGATCCCCTTTCATACCAGAGTAACCAAGAAGATGGCCAGGTAAAGCGAGCCCATGATGAGTATCCGCTTCTGATTGGATGGATACTCCGGTGTCTCCATCTTAACGACGCTTGTCTCAGTAGTGGCGGTTGGTGGCTTTTCATCTTCAGAAGTTGGTTGAGACATGTTGAACGAGGTGACTTCAACGATGAAAGAAAAGAACAGAGAAACAGGTTGTAACTCTGTAAAAATTCAGTTCCCTGAGTCTACAACTGCAACACAACAGAAAGAGAAAACAAGACGCTGCATTATATAAGGAGTTATGGTCCCATAACTCCTTTTGCTGCGGCGCTAGACTAACCCGCATCTCGGGGCTCAAAATTGCAAAAATTCATGCCCGAGCCCCGAATGGCACCGAAACTCACCTTAGTGAATCCTTTCGTTCAAGGCATGAGTCAAAACAGGCACCGGCTGTGCTCCGCAAACTCTTTCATTTCGGACTTTAAACTTGTCCATTAACACCGAGAAGGGGAGGAAAAAAAAAGGAATACGGGATTGGGAAACAAGACCAAACTTTGGGCCACGTCACGGGCGGTAAAACAAGCGGTGATGATGGAGCTGCCCAAGAAACCCAGCGGCGACCTCAAGGGCTACTCGTGCGTAAGCTGCAGACAGCGCAAGGTCAGATGCGATAGGCGGGCGCCATGTATGAATTGCACAAAGGCAGAGAGGCAATGTGACTTTGTTGCCCCCGTACGCGGAAAGCGGAAAAGGACGAAGCCTCCTCGAGAGACTCTTCATGCGCGGCTGAAACGATATGAGGAAATGCTCAGGGCGTACGGGGCCAAGATTGAGCCCAACGATGGCGATGATGGGTCGGATTCGGAAACAGAGTCGCAGTCTCTCAACACTCCTGCGTCGAGCGATGGGGCGGTGTCAATAGTCAAGACGGACCGTGATGATCATATGCCGCCCAAATTTATCATGAAAGAGGGAGCGTCGAGATACTATGACAGGTATGGTTGGCGACTGGTTTGCAACTTGGACGAAGCTATACTTACTCTGTTAGTGCTCTGTGGACCAACCTGTCAGAAGATGTAAACTCATGCCAGCCTTGCATCTCTTTACTTGCTTGACAACTTATTACTGACTTGCTCGCCGTAGTTCCAACACCCAGAATCCACCACCCATTTCAGCGAACCGGCGGAGGAAGATGTCAACGACATTGAAGACGGGCTGATGTTTGAACCGGAGAGAGGCGACAAAGTCATGGACCTTACCAAATACCATCTTCCACTGCCGCTGATATCAAAACTCAAAGAGTTCTTCATCGATAGGGTTGATCCCATGATGAAGTTCCTACACCTTCCCACCTTTTGGGTCGCTCTGAACAATTCGCTGCAGAATCCAGACCGAATACCCAAAAGCTTGGAGGCGCTCATCTTTTCCTTTTACCTAGTCTCTATTTGTTCGTTGAAAGAAGATGAAGCCCGAGAGCTGTTTGATGTAGAGCTGAGCGTTCTGCTATATCGCTATCGAACTGCGACTCGGCAGGCCTTGGTGAATGCGAGATTCTTGTCGACAGCGAACCTGATGACGCTTCAAGCTTTTTCTATCTTTATAGTATGTGCATGTCCCCTTTCCGCCCGCGTATCATTTGTTAATACAGATCAACAGATTTGCGTCAGAGACATCTATCGATGCGATACCCTCTTCGTCCTATCCGGCGTCGCCATCCGGCTGGCTCGCAAAATGGGCCTCCACCGCGACGGCACATTTCTCGGCCTGCCCCCCTTTGAGACGGAAATGCGAAGACGGTTGTGGTGGCATATCGCGCACATTGACTTTCGCACCGCCGATGTCATGGGCACCAAGCCGTCGCCAGAAATCTCCACGGCTGACACCAAACATCCCATCAATGTCGAAGACAGCGAGCTCTACCCAGGCATGACTGCTCTTCCCGAGGATCACCACGGCATCACGGGGATATCGCTCGCCATCATCAAGTGCGAAATGCTTGCATCGCTATGCAAATGCGCAGCGACTCGTCCCATCGATTTGCGCTGGGAGATGCTGTACAGCCCCGACATATCGCTCGCTACAAAGGACAGCGTCATCGACGAGGTTGAAGATCACATGGAAAAGAAATATCTGCGGCACTGCGATCCTTTGAAACCCTTTCATACGTTTCTCTCCATCATGGTGCGGTCAGCGGTATGCAAGATGAGGCTCTTTGCGCACAATTTGCGACAGATTGCGCCTCGATATCCCGCCACTCAAAAGGACCATGATATCGCATTCGACAACGCCATGAAGCTTCTGGAATATGCAGGCATGGTCCAGGGAGGCCACATGGGCTTGGACAAGTATCTGTGGCAGATTGGCACGAGCTACTGCTGGAACACGATGCTCTATCTGCTCATGGAGCTTCGATGCCGCAAATTCGGGCCCGAAATCGACAAGGCGTGGAAGCTCATCGGCGTCGTGTTCGCGCGGGCGCCTCAGGTGTTTTCAGAGTTCACGGGCTCTGTCTATGTGGCACTCGGCAAATGGACGCTGGAGGTCTGGGACGCCCACGTCGAGGCTTCAAAAGCAGAGGGTCTCCCAGATC